CTCGCCCAGCGAATTCTCTGACTTGTTCGTGGGTTGGTGCAACTCCTAGAGCATGCTGAATACGAACCCATTCAGCCAGCCTATCTTCCTGCCAGGGGGGAAGCCTCTGCTGGTCTGCGAAAGCGATCGCCCTGGCCTGTTGACCTCGTCGACGATTCCGAAGTGTACTCCTTGGAATCCCGAACTCAATCGAGGCCCTCTTGACTGAGGTACCACCTCTAATTGCCTCGAGCGCTCGAATGACTTCATTTTCGGTATACGATACCATAATATAATAAAGAACATGTGTACCAAAAAGAAATTCGTTTGGACGATAATTGCAATTGTTGTGGTGGTTTGTAGATTGAGGGTAGGATTTTAATTGGGGTGGCTGGGAGGGATTTTTGGGGTGGCCGAATGGGGGGGGTGGCCGAATGGGGGTGCTCCGACTTAACATCTATTTATTTGAGAATTTCCGTCCTATATCAACGGTAATTCGACGAGGTACCCCCGGGCTTACAACGTTAGGAGGAACCCTGAGGAACATTTTGTCTGCCGCTAAAACTGGGTCGTCGTTCCTCGCACGTCAAGCCAAGCTGCAAGCATTGATTGCAAGAAGGGCTCTGGCCGTCACATTGCGAATCGTCACTCAGCAGGCACGAGAAGCAGACCTGGTGTGGTGTTAGTCGTAGGCACGGTAATCATAATACGATATACATGGGGCGACGACTCACCACTGAGGGGGGCAGTTGAAAGTCTATACCTGTGTTGTCCACGACTGATTGCTCCTCTACGGTGGCAATTGGGATATGCGATGCAAACGCTGAAGTTCCACCTAGCTCGGGTATACTTTCGAGAGGGGCTCCAAGCCAATGATCGTCGAAAGTGGTCTCGTGCCGCCCTGGTTTCGAAGAGAATTCGGGGTGAAAAGATGGTGTGGCGGACTTATGAGGCTGACTCATCGATTGAACGTTATGTTGCAGGTTCGACGACAGCCGCCAATTCGACCGGCCGCTCTGACTCTTGGTGAATGCCTGCATGATTTAGCAGATGTATCTGGTGGATTGCGTGAAACTTGGCCATGTTGGAAAAGCCATACCGAACATCTTGGCACCAAACAATCTAGCACCATTCACTGGTGTGTAATATGGTGACCGCAAGCGGAAGCACTGACCTGGTGTACAGAGAGAGTGTGGCGGATGCTGCTCTTGACCCAGGGCACGCCATCGTCCATGTGGGATTCGAACCAGTCGTAAAGCTGATTGAGACTCATGGGTTTGTTTCCGTTACGAAGAAGTGCTGTGCGGATCAACTCTGAGTAAGATTTTCTCTTAGACTGCTTTCTTCCAAGGGTTGGTGGAGCCGTCATTGTACTAGATGTCCTGTCGCATGGATCTCGACTTCGCTACGGATTAAAGTCGAGAGTCGAGATGTAGGACCTTCTTGTGTGGATGGTCATATATATGTTCGTTCCAATATGTTTCTGCTCTCTGCGGAACCCTCCTGACGTGATTGGCTTTATCCATTTCATGTCTCTTGTTATTGAGCGCCGTTTGGATCCCTTTACCATGAATCAAGAGATGCCTCGAGGAGACACCGAAGCATGCCAAGATATTCAGCTGAATTGTTAGTTATGGTCAGAGTAATCGGTAACACAGCAGAAGGACTGGCAGTCGGCTCGTTCTTCGCTCCGAACATACGGCATCGCTGGCAGTCCCACGGGTCTGGCACACATAACCACACAAGACGCACAAGGTATATCTGCATCGAAAGAACCGGGCTCACATCGTAGCAAGCTGTCCCTGCAGAGCCTGCATGGTGAATAGTCATCACAGCCGCCATGTGCACAGTCCACGTCCTCAAGTGCCCACACTGTCTCTCGTGTGAGCCAATCCGCCAGGTATGCGAGCTAACACTTCCTCATGGTATTTGCCAACGTAATCAAACGAATCTTGTCACTACACATCGCCTGGACAACGGTTGCAACAACTGTCGCGAGCGGCCAGGTTCTTATTGCAGTGGTGGCTACGTTGTCGAGATGCCTAGCCTTCCACGGAGGGTGCGTTGGCGGTTAACACGACAATTCGTCCCAGTGGTCACGAAAATATGGTCACGACTGAGCTAAGCTTGACCTGCAGCTGCAGGACATTGCACACACTTCATCTGCAGCATTTTGAGTTCGTAATCTAGTCAGCAACGTGGAAGAAAGCTAGATGAAGAGTAATCGAACATCGGGATTTCCTCGATATCAGCTATATCCTTCGTTCGGAGCTTAGAGATTTAACCCAACGTCGTTTTTAACCACTCGACTAGCGAAAGCGAGTACTAGGCGTTGAGCCTCGAATACTCGAGGCGTGACTTCGACGCGTGACGAGCTCGATGGAGTGTAGCTTCCAGTTCCGATTGAATAGCAGCCTCCCAGGCCCAATTTCTTGTCATGCCTGAGCAAGAAGATTATGTTCACTCGAAGTGAGGTGTACGGACCGCGGCCCCTCCCAGATACAAAAGGCAATCGACCAAGATGTATCGTGACATGATAGAAGCCACTCTCCTTCTTACTCCTACCAATTCCGCTATTCCCGCAAGTACAGTGGAAGCCACCCCACTAATCGTCTTTACATTTTGCTGCGAAATCGACTCCAGGCAAACTACGACATTGAATCAGCTTCATGATCCAGACGTTGCCAAGGATAGCATCAACGAGGTGCCCGTCATGGAGACCTTGCTGAGCGGCGGCCCACTACGAAAAGTGCGTGGGCTGGATTGTTCCTCACATGAATGGCTGGGACGTGATCATCCCGTTGTCGCATGGGGCGGGCCTCTGACTCAGCTCGTAATGAAGAAGACATCACTATACCCCTGTGATTATGGGTGAATTATCAAGCTTTCATGGTAATTCGCCGTGAATAGAGTATCAACTCCTATCGGACATTGCAGGTACGATCCGGTCATGTAGTGCTTGTTTCTAGTGCTTCTCACTGACTGTAAAAGGAAAGGCTGACATATTGTCGAATTTCTGGAAGTCTGTTTCCGGGAGCAGCGACAAGAAGCACAAGTGGGGTATTTGGCCTTGACGCAACCACTTCAGGAAGTTTTTATTATGGTAACCGACGATGGCGCCGCGTATGGCAAAGACGTTATGTTACATTGTATCACAGGAATCACTAACCATGGCTGTACTATGTTAGACGTTGGCTACGATCCTGCAACCGAAATCTTCAGATCACGAGCTCACCCATCCAGATCCCACTTTCCCGGTCTCAAAACAGAATTGAAGTGAATATCGTTGGGTGAGTAGTTTATAACCGATTATTCCGGCGGTACCTGAACAAGGATCTACCTGTTGAGAGCTGCATGACGAACAGCTGCCTGAATGTGTGTACTTCCTTAACACTAAGCGGCAGGCCCATCTCCAGTTGGCTTCTCCTGTGAGTATACAGCTAACATAGTTGCCACAGAAATACGGTGTCCTCAGGCTCCAGTAGCTCTGTTGAAGAAGTGGAATATGGCTGATATGCCCCTTTAGTCATGCAAACTATCGTTGTAGGCCTAGCCACCAACACACGGATGGCGAGACGCTCACATAACGCAACGCAGACCTCGACATCGAACGTGGATGACTTCCTCAAAGAGCAGCAAAGCCAACAACGCCAAACAACACTCTCGCCATGGATGACGCCAAAACACTCGTCAGGCAAGCCGTGCGCGCATTCTACAGCTCCGAACAAACCGTCGTAGTTGATGTCTTATTACATCACGAAATGTATGTCCCCACGACGCAGAGATCACGATAAGCAGACTCATCGCGCCTTGAATCTAGTCTATCAATGTCTCAACTACGCTCTTTTTCCATCACACCTGACCACGTGTCACTGAGAAAGGCCTGCGCTGAGCTGGAGCGGGCAAGACTCATTTGTACGTGAGTGTGTTTACATATCAGTCCCTCGCGCCTCATTATCGCGTCTATCGAGTTCGTTCACTGGCGAGCCTGCGTCATTCTTGCCCGCATTGACAGTTTCTCAGGCGACAGCTCAACGAAGATGAGTTATACGTCTTTCTCGACTACCACCAAGCCGTTTACGCCATTCAATACATTATCCACGAACTAAGACGCCGAGTTCTCGGTATAAACAAGCGGGAATCCTCAACAGAGATCGTGAGATACTACACTTGTCCCAAATGCCTCAGCAGTTGGCCGTTGATCGATGTTATCGACAACGCAGACCGTAATGGTGGCTTTTTGTGCAAGCGATGTGTGACTCTGAGTCTTTTGCGCGAAGAGCCCCTCACAACCGATCTGCTACCACGCTTCAACCAACAGTTCGCGCCTTTCATACAGATACTAGAGCGTCTTGACATTAGCAAGATTCCGAGGGTTGTGTTTAAGGATCTCCATGCTCAAAATTACGGTGAGAGTGACGGTGCTCTCAAAAGATAGTGCTCCTGGTTTTTGGTGGCTTGACCCGGCATAATGAACTGCCAATCAGTGCTAGGAGATAGCCTAGATAGCCTTGTGCCCACGATGGATAGACCGACGTCCATGATGTGAGCCCCTAACCTCGGCTGGACCATGAATGAAGCGGCGACGTTGGATCGCTATCTGAAAAGATTAGGCTTACCATTGGCCTATTTTTCAAGAGGCTTTGATTTATCATTTTTCGGTTAACACCAAGCCTATAAAGTCCTCTAAGATTGCACTTGTTCATACAAATTCAGACGGCCAAACCATCGCAATATTTACGTCGTTCAACCGTATCGGTAGTAGCTTGCATCAATCTTAAAAACGATCTCCGCTGTCGCTTATGCCGCCTGCCTTTGCGCAGTAGGTATTTGAGGCCCTGTTTCTTCTTTTGGAGACCCGGCCTGATCTACCGTCTCGCTTGCTGCCTCGACCCTGTCTGTTCTTCTTTCGGAGTCTGACTGAGATTTTCAAGTCGATACTGGAAGTACACTTAGAAGTTTGCAAAGTGATGCTGATGCTGACACAGCGACCGACACTATCATCACCAATGTCGCATTCCAAAGTCCCGCGAAGCTTATCATGAAACGTCGCACCTTTGTATCCCGCTTTCGGTGGTGTGTTTTCCTTGTCGCTATCGTCGCATATAGATGCAGCTTCCTCATTTGACAGATCGTTTCTAGGTTCCTCTCTCAGTTGTGTATGTAAAGGCTGTCTGGCTCGTCCTCGTCGCCTCTCTGATACAGAGGTCTCTGGTGGCCCAAGGGAGGGTCAGAGAATGATTCTTGTGAGTCTGACTGCTGAAAGTCGGTAGAACTCTTGAAAGAACTCGAGATTTCGCAAGCGTTTGCTAGTGCCTGTAGAGGCCAATCTTCGTCCATTTGTCTTCGGGCACTCGACACGGACTCTTGTGAATCTTGAGAAGATACTTTCCGGGATGCTTCGGCCATCGAAAAGAACTGATGCAAATAATATGATAGACTGGTGGGCGCTGAGTGTGTTGTGCGGGCAAGGTTAAGCATGGGAATGCTGCCTGATTGTGCCCCTATTTATACGCCTTACACTTTGCGGTCAATTTAGCAGATCCGTCTGACAAATTCAACCCCTGAGTCCCCTGCATGCATATTAAAGTTGTGGAAAGCGTGCCAAATTTTCCAAGGAATACTACTTACATAGTTTACCGTCTCGTCGTCTCGCTCTAGTTCGTTGAGTTTTTCGCCATGTATGGGTATCCGACAGACCATCTGCACCTTCATAGGTCGCTGCCCTGTCTAATCAACGTTCTACACCGTTCGGGGGCTCAAGACGTGGTGAAGGCCCTTCGCTGTATATTTTAGATATAGCTTCGTATCTGCAAACCCGACGTTGTCACCATATAACTTCATCCTCATTGCTGCTGATATTGAGAATGCTTGCTTGTATAACCGTCACTCATAACTTTTCGACGGGTTGTCCTCCCTCTGTTCGTACAATGGCAATGCTGGCTCCAGGTACCTACGAAGGCGCGATTCCGCTTGCAATTTTGTTGCCAAAAGGCCGCCGCCAAATACTGACAGCCATAGCCCCGTATACCAGCATCGGCAACCAATGTATTCCCTCCCTATTCGGGATGAGTCCGATGGTGCTTGCAAAATTCATCCTTAAACGAGAAGGTCGACGGCTCCTCTACAGGTTCCAATTTCGCAACCACAGCAGGCCGAAGTTTGAGAGTCCCTTGAAAGGCTCAGAATGCGATGGCGGTGGGTAGATGTTGCATAATCATACGTTAGATTGGTCATAGATAGGACAAAGTTTCAAGCGCTCAACGGAAAAGTTGGTCTCAATTTGCAATCGGCACTCTTCGGAATGAACCTAAGGGAAAGAAGCTATTAATGAGGTTCGGAGTAGCTCAAGCACACATGGACGGCGGGCACAACGACGCATCTTTCATATTTCACAGTCAATCAGATCCTGCAATTCCTGCCGTTTGGAAGATGGTCAACTGCTAAGCTGCCTTCCGTCGTCAACATAGTAGGACCAAGACATCGTCGTTCTGTCGGCACATCCCAGGCCTAAACAACGGCCACATGTCGTATCTCACTTACGCGATGCGATCAAGAGCCTGGATATCACCTGTCATGGCCGAATCCTCGAGCTTGCGTAATGCTTTGCGTCGATAACGTTAATCGTTGTTGTGGTCAAAAGCGTTGCACTTCAGCAACGGAGATGCTTAGGCCAGCATAGCGTAACTCAACGTTGTTGCGATGTCTCCTAGAACCCTTCCGACTCCCGCTGGACCTAACTGTTAGTAGGAGTTTTGGAGCATTCAAGTGCGAAAGTCAACTCGATACATTGAAGATCACGGATGACGGCCTTCTTTCGCTGGTGTTAGGTATGACTACGCTATGCTGCCCAGACGACATGCAATGGCCACTTGGGCCACTGAAAATATCTGGTCAACCACAATGATGCAATTTTAGCTAATGTACGCTTGAGAGCTGTCACAGGCGATAGTTATGAATAACATGCGCACCTACTACTCACGAAAGACACAATATCAGTGCTCATCTCTTGGTCACACCACCACAGAGCTCAAGGGACAAGGCATGGTCTGTGTTACAAATCTCCTCTCCCGTCACCACATCACTCGCGTCACAAGTCAAAAAAAGAGATGGGAGTCTGATAGTTTTGATGTATATAAATACGGCGACGGCCGATCAGTATTGGCACAGCATGCCGTACCCATGGGTTCAAATCGTTGAAGGAAATCCACCATCAGCCGCCATCAGTCTGCCTCCATCCATTCAACGTTCACAAAGGCCCTCCGTCGTCAGTGTAGTCGACGACGAGCCCATGCGTGAGGAAGGCCAAGGAGTCGAGGTGATTCGCGCCAGGAAGCATATCGTCATCAATGAAGTCAACTTTCAATGCCACGCCTTTTCTCAAGCCCATCCGGCCCGTATTCCAGGCCATGTGAAGTACCCTGTGCGATGCAGTCGCGCTGGTGGGGTGATTTGTCGATGGTCCATGCTTATGAGCGACGCTGTTCTCTTCGTTGCCAAGGACGTACCGTCTGCGCGTCGGCTGCTCCGTGCGTGGGACCTAGAGTGCAGGGGCCTGCCACCTATCCACCGTCCAGTAGGAAGCGTCGTAGTCAGGAACATTGGCGAAAACATCGACCTGGAGAGCCTGGCCAGCACGTTCATCGGTGATGGATTAAACTGCTGTTTCGGCGACGTAAAAGTGACCCGAGGTGTGTATAAACCCGGAAAGATTCCTGTTGATGTACTCTCCCGGATTCGAGACGTGAGAAATCAGAGAAGGGAGGAAAACACACTCTGGGATTGGTATACGATGTTCCGGGTCTCTCGCGGACTTTTGCAGCAGTTGGCCAGTGCGCCCGAGGCCGCGCCGGGCATGAACTTGGACGTCAGCTACCTGACGGCATTCGACCAAAGCCGGTTGCCCCAACCGCTGAGGCAGATGAGACCCTGGCTAGAGGAGGCATGGGCAGAGTGGATCCAGCAGGCTATGTCTCTGGACGATCTTCGACAGATGAGATTGCCCATACTGGCGAATGCCCTTTCACACGATATGGCGGCCTATTACGATGGTACGTGGCCATCGTCCTCATTCAGATTGTCTGTAGCTAATTAATCTGGACAGGGTTCTGTGGCCAGACCGTTTTTAGGGAAATCTATCATGATGCACTGACGAAAGCGCTGTCATACCAACGACTCATGCCGACGGCCGACGCTAAGGCACTCGTAACCTCTGTGGTCAAGACGACGATTGGCCAACTGCGTCACGCGGACCCAGAAGGACGTCGAAAATCTCGCACACACTTTCTTCATCGGCACAGCGCCAGCGTTGCGGGGAGCAGGTCCTCCCGTCTGTGTCTCGTATGCTTTGTGCAGCCTCCCGAGGTGTTTCTCCCTTGTGAATGCGCATTGTGCGAGACGTGCTACCGCGGATATGGCAACAGTACGATGAGCGGGACTGTAATCACATTTGGTAGGTGCATTCTGTGTGCAATGGCGTTTGTTTCTGGATGTGCCGTTCGTCTCAGACCGCTCACGGCGGGATGCCGCGTCCTGGCCCTCGATGGAGGCGGGGTGAAGGGCATCGTTCAGCTGCGTATCCTGCAGATGCTTCAGAAGGTGACCGGACTACCTACTCAGATATTCTTTGACCTCGCCATCGGGACCAGCGTCGGTATGCCGCTTCTGTATGCAAGCGAGAGAGAACAGCTTCAGAACTGACTTGTTCGCAGGAGGCATCAATGCCTTATCGATCGGCGTATTAGAATCATCGCTGGATACCTGCGAACAGAACTTCATACAGCTAGCGCGCAGGATATTCCCCAAAGCTTCGACAAAGATAGGACGGTGGTGCCAGAAACTGTCGCGATGCATCCGTTTTGTGTGCAAAGACAGCATCTACAGCCCTAGCGGGCCGATCCTAGGGTCTATCACGGGCGAAGCGAGACTTAGGGGACCGCGAAAGTCGCTCTACGATCGGAAGCCGTACGAGCAGATGAAGGTGGCTGTAACGTCCATCGACTCAAAAACGAGCATGTCGAAGCTGTTCACCACGTATGCGGGCCATGAGAATCGGCAAGCAGAGTCTGGCAGGCCGAGGCCCCTGCTGGTCCGAGAGGCGTAGGTATCCGCGCGATGTGTGCTACAGAGCGTCCGAGCTGACTTGGATCAAAAACAGGGCCGAAATCACGTCGGCCGCTCCTGTGTACGTACACGTCAATTCATAGAAGAACGGGGAGAAATCGTAAAAGGACACGATCAGAGACAAGCTAACATGCGCCAGGTACTTTCCGGCCAAGCGTCTTGGGCCGTCCACTTCGTCATACTATGACGGGCTGGAGATTCCATTGCTACATGCGCGGTCCGAAGCGCTACGGCTGTGTCCTCGCAAGACGGTTCCTGATTACATCCTCTCGGCAGGTAACGGGGTGATGAAGGCAGCCCCAAACGGCATGTCGAACTCACTGTCTCGATTTGCTCACTTTAGCCTGGAATCTCTGTGGGGACACCGGCAGTATCAGAGGCTAGGTGGGCCAGCGGGGGAAGCGTTCAATGAGTTCCGCATCGACCCCACTCTCGATATGGAAGCGGTGGCGCTGGATGACGCAGATGCCATAGGCAAGCTGATTCGAAAGCTGGACCGAGAATTTCTCGTCAATCGGGACCTACATCAGCGTATGCAACAAGTCTCGCTAGTCATGATCGCCTCTCTATTCTATTTTTCATTCGACACGACAACGCGAACGACCAGACGCGGTGAGGTACTATGCAGAGGGTTCGTCGCTTGTAGGTATGGAGACGACCCATCAGTCACGAGAGTGCTCGCGACTCGGTTCAAGGGGCTTTCCCTTGTGGTAGCTGGTAGCGAGTATAAGATCGCTGCGGACGAGCGGACCGTCGTGAGCTTCACTTTGCCGTCGTGGAGTGTTCCCTTCGATATCAGGCTTAAGTACAATGATACGTCCTCTTCGATCTCCGGATTTCCACAGACTGCCGACGCCTTACTTGACTTACAAGCTCATAGTGACGGTAGCGTATGTGTAGACCAGTCGGTGCGGAAGAGGAAGCTCTCTAGGACGGGAAACACATCGGCAGGTCGTTCGGAGAAGAAGAGACGGATGGATATGTAATTAAGTAGTAAAGAAGAAGGGTATGTGGAGAGGAGGCACTTTCTTGTGCAAATGTCTGCTTTCTTCCTGCCACAACAGCAGATATCTATCATCAGGAGATGTGAGATATGTTTATTTGTATTATCTGGATAAGGACTGTCTGATGTTGAGTGACGTCTGTAGGCACTCATTCCGGTGAGATACCGAACTGGCCAAAGTTAATGAGATGGATGAATTGAATCACATGTTTTATATCAGAATACTAGGCAAATGAAACCCTAGGATTTGGCATTTACGGCGATCCGAATGTACCACATTAGTCGTTTGAATTGTTTCTCCAGCATGCACACTCACAGCAGTCATATCCTATCCTGGAGTAGATGTATAGAACAGCACATGTAACCTTTTTCCCTATGTGGCTTACACCCGATCATCAACGTGAAATGCTCCATTCCACCTCATTATTATCCGCAGTGAATAGAAGCATCTGATTGTGTCTCTGCAAGTGAAACCGCATCAATCAACGACCAGGTGTGTCTCTTGGCACTCAAGCTACCGGGACCTATCTAACATCAACGATGCCCGCTGCCGAGCGTTTGATTTTCGCCCGTTTCTTCAACGTAGCACCAGCTCGGGGCTCGATTTCTCTCTGGAATAGAGCAACGAGAGCTTTTTTCTTTGAGCTATGATCGAACTTGATTCCGTGCGTGACGAATATTTTCTTCAACTCTTTCACAGTGATGGAGTTGGCGTCAAACCCTGGTTGGAGATAATCGACGTTGTCATCAAGGCTTGGGATGGTATCCAGAGGGTCCTCGGTGCATTTTCCCGCTGGCACAGAACACGAAGTCCCTCCAGGCTCGTTTTCGCGCTTCGACCTCTTGGTCCTGGTCCGTGAAGAGCTTGTTTGCGATGTCTCCTTGTGCTTGACCGCCCTTGTTCCAGGCAGTACTTTGGTCGCAGTCGCGACATGACTGTTTTCCTCCACGTAAGGATCAGCCTCTACGATGCCCGCTTCAGCATACACTTCCTCATTTGTCGGCTTTGCCCTGTTATGCTTCCTGTGCGAAGGCTGTGTAGAATCCATTTCGGTTCGGCTGCTTTCATCCTTAGTCTTCTCTCTGTTCAAGGAAAAGTCGCCACTGGCCTTGGACATGGACGCAATGAGGTCGTCCCTGTCCTTGATCTCTCGAGCTGCATGCTTCAAATCCCCACTCATTTGCCTGACTTGATCTTTGAGCCGCTGGACTTTGGCTTTCGTTTCGTCAAAGTAAGCCTGGCATTGTCGCAGGTGCTTCGACCGCTGCTTCTCGTAATAGCTGATGACGCATGTAATCTCGGCGTCTTTTTCTTCGAGTTTCTGGATGGCCCATTTCTCCAAAACCGGCCGGCTCTGGCAATGTTTCTGTTTGAGGATTTCATCATCCTTGTTTGGAACGTGGGTTGCACCGTCAAATGGTGGGTGGCCACCTGGCCTTTTCCTAGTAGTTGCAGTATTGCTTGCCGTATCTGAGATCTCATTTTTGATGGTCCACGATTCCGCTTGTCGCTCTGTGTTTTGCAGCGTTGTGGTTGCATATCGAGCGACCCCATCTGCTTGGGTTTCAATAGCTGCCCCACCACTCTTAACTGACGTTGTCTTCTCTCCTACTCGCACTCCCACTGGCTTGGGGTTCCTATTCTGCGGGGCTCCTGTACTATTTGCCTGTTCGCTCGCACTTGAACTTGGGCATGCTTCCGAACCAAGGATTGCGTCCGTTGCTCCTGCTTTGGTTGTGGGCTGTCGATCTCGTGAAGAAGAAGCATTTACGCTTGAATCTCTCGGAATATTCGAACTCAGGCTGCGGCCTTCTGGTTGTCCTTCGTGGTGAGTGCGGACTTCAACTCTCGGATTTAGACACTCTGCTTGGCTGCCTGGATCGCTCTTTTCTTGCTCCAGCTGGCAACCTTCCGCATTCCTTTTCTTCCCAAGGTGCATGGAGCTGACCGGAAGACTCGAGTATGTCAAGACTTTGTCTACCATTCCCTTGATCGAACTTTCCAGATCTCGGCACCGACCTTGGAGTTGGTCGACTGCCGATGTAGAATGTGCCATTTCATTTTTCAGTTGTTGCATGCGATCATGTGTTTGTCTTGAAAGGGCCTCCAGAGCGCTTGTTTGGCTTCGGAAGCTGCGCTCTACATCAAGTTGTACGTGGTTGAGATCTTGGCTGAGGCTTTCCGTTCTCTCGCGAGCCGCTTCGGTACCACGCTTGAGCGCTTCCACATTGCCTTCAACAGCACTCAGTCTTGTGTTGATCTCGTCCTGCCAATGGCTCTCAACCCCTTGAACTTCCTGCTTGACTTCAACTAGATCACGAGAGATTAGGGCCAATCGATTTGGGTCTTGCATCTGGTCTCGCATACTTTCGTGCTGACGTTGTTGACTCTCCAGTTTGCGTTCCAACTCATCAATTTGTCTGGCTAGCTTCTCCATCTGTGCGCCAAGCAGCGCACGCTTTTCTGACTGGTCTCGGAGCTCATCCCACCCGGAAGCCTGGGAAGCGATCCATGCTCGTAACGTCTCTGAAGTGTCCCCATTCTTTTTAACATCGTCCTGTAAGTGTCTCAGGATTGGGTCAACTACGGCTGCTTTGCTGTGTAGATCCCGCTTGACGGCCGACATTCCAGTCGCAAGATCGGCCAGACGTTTTTCTGCACTTATCCACTGCACGCTGGTCTGATGCTTGAAGCTTTCTAATGAGTGGGTAACTTCGTCATGTCTTCCGCTCAAGTTCTCTCGCAAAAGTTGGATGTCCTTTTGAGTCTGATCCAATTGCACCTGAACCGCTTCCGGAACGTCGTCCGGTGGTTTTCTTGTCACTTGGAGAAGTAAGGCGTTTTCGGTACTTCCCGCGTCTCGGTTTTCTAACAGGGTCTCTGGGTTCGATCTCTTAGCGCTGAAGTTCTGTAAGTCGTTGAGTGTTGTTTCTAGCCGCCGGATTCTGTTTGATTGATTCAGCAAAGTCTCTTGGGTCAAGTGTTCTGCTTTCTCGGCTTTTGCCAGTGGCGCCATAAGTCTTTCTTCCAAGAGCCTCCCGTCGGCTCTGAGCTCCTTGATCTCGCCCGCTTGGAGTATATAGGCTTGCGACTGAGCTTTGATAAGTTCTAGTTCTTGTGCTTGCTCTTCGGCAGTCTTCTGTAACGCATGGATCTTTCCAGATAGTGCTTCGGTCGTGGGCACCAATGGTCGAAGCTCCTCCAGCTGTCTTTCTGTCTCTTTGGCTAATGTCGTGACCTTTCGGTGACACATATTCTCCATGTGTCCCATCTTTTGTGCCGTCTCTAGCTTGAAGGATTGCAGCTGCTCCGCGATTCTCTCCTCTAGATCACTTTCCGTAGCACCTTTCGCGTGTTCGAGGCACCTGAGCCGATCCTCTATTGCTTGTATAGTTACCGCAGTTCCGTCGGTGATCTGCATGTGGTATCTCTCTTGGCTGCTGCCGAATTCGGTTCGAAGATCTGCTTTAGTGGACTCATTTGCCCTCTCTATGCGCTCGTTCAGCTCGTTGGCGACTAGGTCCACCTTTTCTGACTGTCCTTCTAGCTCTGCCTTGAGGGAGTTGTTTGTGGTTTCGATATTGTCTAGTCTCTGCATCATGTCCTTTGCCTTTCCCTCGGCCATGAGCTTCAGATATAGTATCTCAGCGTCATGTCTGGCTCGGACTTTTGTTGCCTTCAATTGCATGGCCCTATGCCTATCGAGGTCTGCTTGATGAATTTGTGCCATCGCCTGGTTCGTTTGGTCTTGGACTTTGTCTACATACTTTTGTCGCGTTATCGCATCTGATTCTGTACTGTTGCGAAGGGAGTCCACAATGCGCGTAACATCCTGCAGAACAGCTTGGGAGACTCTTTGCGTAAGTGCTATCTCCATCTGCTGCTGGTCACGTTCCACCTGTTTTGTCTGACGACAGAATTCAGCCTGGAGACCGCCCATTTCGACCACAAGCTTTTGCACTTGGTCATGCACATAGTGTTGATCGTGTTGTAGCTTGTCAAATCCTGGCGCCAAGGAAGCGGTCTGATTCCTTACATCGTCAAGGCCAGTCTGCAAACGGGGCATAAAGTCCTCAATGGTCGCAAGCCTGCCGCTCTGCGAACTCTGGACAGCTGAGAGATTGGTTACATCCTGTTCAAATGTGAGGCTCCTGGTTTGAATGCTCTGATGGAGTTCTGACATGCACGTGTCTTTCACAGCCTGCATCCAGCGAAGTCCCTTCTCGTCCATCCATTTAGAAAAGCTCTCTTCCATCCCAGCCTGCATCTCGGTAATTCTAGCTTGGATCTCGCGGTTAACATGAGATTGGAGAATTTTCGAGGCTTGAAGACTCTGAAGTTGGTTTCCTGAATCAAGCTCCTCGTAGCTTATCTGTCTGCTTTCTCTCACCCTTATCACTGTGTCGGTGTCATTGCTTGCTTGCGATGTGAGAGCGCCTGCTGTGCTCTCTCGTTCGTGACGATGAGAAGACGAGGATTCTGCACTTGGCATTGGACCCGAGGCAGGTGATGAATGGCTGTTCATCATTTGCAGGTCTGTGTTCTCTACCAGTGGTTCTGGTAGTTGATGTACGTTGTCATCGACTTGAGTTGTGACAAGCGGAAAGAGTGCGGCAGCTTCCTCTCGAAACAGTTGTTCCCTGGCTAGTTCATCGTTGTACTTCTCCATCCGGAGCCTCGTGAGACGCTTAGGAGGTGGCTCGCTGCCTGATGCCCGTCGAAGATGTTGAATTAGGATCTCGGAAACTGTTTCACGAAATTTTGCCACACGCTCAGTGTGGTTGCAGTCCGTCTGCGTATCGTGTGCTGCTTGAAGCTCGAGTCTGAGGATCTGTTCCTTTGAGCAGCTACAATTCCGATTTCCACTGGACGCAGTAGTGGCTTCATCAAGGCCCCATGTGAGAAGACTTTCCCATGTCCGCACGACCAGCCCATTAGACTCATCGTTCCCATGAAGAAAGTTTTCAGTATCTCCCGGGTCTAGACATATAGCCTTGCTATCCAGATTCCCTTTCGCACTGCCCTGCACTTCCTTCAACGGTGAGTGCACGATGCTTAGTAGTTTACTTGGTCGCCATTCAATTGTTTGAAGGTCCTCAAGTGTGATGTGTCGTGCAAGATTGACGAAACACATGAAGACTTGTTCTACTTTGAAGTCGCTTAGTTGATCCAGAGTTCTCTTCTCGATGTCGCTTCGAGCGTCTCTTGTAATCACGTGAAGTAGCTCTAATTTATCTAGGAACGCTTGCACGTTTTCCGATAGAAGAATTGTGATCGGGTTTAATAGTTTCTGGTTCCTTGTGTCTTGGTAGATTTGTTTTGTTTTGAGTCCTTGTTGAGTTCTGGTCCTTCTTTTCAGCTGCGGCCCCTTTTTAGCGAACGGACGCCGTATCTTTCGCGGGTGGCGATTGCCTTTGGTCAGCTTGAGTGCATTCTCACTGAGCTTTTCCTCCAGCTGCACACTGTCTGGGAGCTTTCTTTTGGGAGCCATGGAACGCCCATCAAAAGGTCAGAAGCCATTGTTTAAATACAAATCACCGGCGGTGTACGATAATACGTAGTGAATTACAGGCCACTTTACCTAATTTCTTGAAGCCAGCCTATCTCTATTACGTGATTAACTTTAGAGAATAGCACGCGGCGTACTGTCATTTTCAAATGAACCCTACACGGCGTCCTGTTTCTTGGACACTGGAGTTTGACGAGGTTTTCGGTGCCGTTTAAATCGAAACTTGATGCAATACATATACACATCAATTGAGCTATCGCCTGTGACAATACCGGAACCATGTGTCAGTTGCCTATATAGATAGACCCCATCAATCATTACGCTTCGGACTCGAAGGCATTCAGAATAGGCGACAGAAACGAAGTTGTGATGTTACGAGCGATAAGCAGGCGTTTTAGCTACTGGTAGATAATGGCAGAGATCTTGCATCGTCCTTAGTCTGCTGAAATGCGTATAGATGGGCGCGACTTGGTGTCTGCCCGTTTCTCCCATGTCAGGCAAAGCCTTGTCGTACCCGAGAGAGAGTATAGGTGAACCCAAGATATCCATCCTGGTGTTGTGCCACCTCATAGCATTTTAAGCCGACTAGGAAGAGTAAACCAGGTCCAGTCATAACAGACACAGCCTTAGTAGAAGCCGCTACCCCGTGAATGCTTGTTTACATGCCACCCGTATAGCGTAATCCATAACTTCCTACAATCAATGACCTTCGACGGTTCGTTCTATTAACATTCATTCGGAAAGATTAAAGACGTGATACACTATTCTACCTAACAAAGTATTATGGAGAATTGAAATCGTCGTCAAGCTTTGACGGCTATGGCCTATTAAGTTCTGTACATACCTCTTCCTTACAGAAACCGAGTGCCGCACGGAGACATTTAGCTCTACTACGTAGTTTCGGTCGTCAAGATCACGGGGAGTATGTCGTACAGGAATAAAGCCCGGGTTCAATTGAATTGGCGGAAGCGGTAGTCGAAAGTAACTCGGAGTTAGGTGTTACAACACTCCCAATAAAATGACGGCCGACTGTGCAATTTCTATCAGTGGATCCATCTCCCTTAAATTCACTCGTCGAGCTGGTAAGTGGCCCGCACCCAGCCGACAGGGCGAACCTCATGCATCTCATGAGGTTTTGAGATTTTGTATCGCGGTTACCTAGTCTCGGTTGTCTAGTGAAGGTACCTGATGCCCTGTTTCCCACACAGGTTACAGAGCTTGAGCTAATACTTCCAATGGAGGCTACCTTGATCGAAAAGTAGAAATCTCGAGAAAAGGGAAGGGGCGGCGGCTTGGATTTCCCAGTTCAACACTTATTCTTTCCCCAATCTTCATCGACGACGGGGCGCATTCAGGCTATTGTCACCCGCACTTGGTTAGGGGCGATACACTTTGATGGCCATAGCTGGTGATGAGCTTTCCCGGACTTATATTTGACACGCATTGACACAATGGGCCTGACGGTGGAGAAAAGAAGAGATCAATCCCTTAGATACTTATCGTTAGGAATCTTCAGTTCGTAAGGATGCCCAAAAGATCATTCCAGCGAGGTAAGTACTGGATAATCCAGAATCGCTTGGAGCAAGAGCACTTGAGTCATGTTGATCAACTCGCCTACTCAGGAGTTCCAATTCTTCCACCTCTCGTGTTACATGCACAAACCCCACAACAAAATCAACAACTGACCATCGCACCAAACACACCGATGTCCTGCTAAGGTGTGTACCAACGGAAACAAGTCCCCAAGGCCACAGCAAGTAGCTTTGGCATGGAATAAATAGGGCAAGTCCACGAGTGACACATGTTGTTGCGTTCAGGAACGTAATGCATGTGTGACGAATACTTAACAAGTCAGATATCAATCAGGTAATTGTCTTCCGTAAGTTCGGCGCTAACAAGCCCACGTCGATACTCTAACTAATCCTGATCTTCCTACAAAGCTACGAAATAGCACACTACCCATCAACGTTTCAAGACTCTGCCGACGTCCGGGGCTATTTTCCAGCACCTGTGCCATGGTCAGCATCAGCTGTGAAAATCTGGTTCAATTTTATTACCTTAATCTCATTACCAGGTAAGGCTTGATGTTTTGACATGCTAGTCATTCATGAATTCCTGACAAAAATACGCCACTTTGCGGAAATTCACGGTGGCACATGTGACATAATAACGCAACGGTCCAGTCAACGCCAGCGGCAGGAACCTCACTTATACATCATAACAGAGTAGTATCACGTGATGCTGTATTCATCACCAGGCAACGTCGACAGAAGGAAATCGATACGATAATAAGCAGCACATCAACCCAAACCCAAGACACCTGAGTCCGTAATCACTATCCCCGGTACCTTATCCTGAGAGAACAAGCACGACATACTCTTTGGCTTCCAAACGTAAATCAGGATGACGACTAGATGTGAAGGACCGAAACTAGTGGAAGCCGCCCCGATTCCCAGAACACACCCATCCAAGAGAGACGATGACCTAGACGTCTACGGTCTAGCTTACCTCGACACGTTCCCGTCTTTCGTCGGCTGTAACAACCAGACGTCTACTGATATTCTCACGATGATGGGTTCCAATACCCAGATATTCTCGATCATGGAGGGATGCAATGAGTACGATATGCAACATATCGACGGCTTCCAAGAAGCTTACGACAATGTCGAAGAACATTACGAGATGCCTTTATCACCCGGACAGGGTCAGGAATCAGCCTTCGTTCCTGATTTTGAAACTCACCAAGACCTGCTTGGGCTCCTCCCTTCGTCTCTGGCCGCAGAAACCGTCGCGTTCTCACCTATTACAGCACTTCTCAACTTTGAGATGGTTGGAACAGATGATCAGCAATCTCAGAGTTTGGACTATGCATTTTGTCCTCCATCTGCTTTGCCATCCCTTCGCGTAAAGCCTTCCTCATTTGCGCATCACGACGAAGAGTCTGCTGTCCCAGACGATACCATGTGTATTGATCCATCAGTGTTATTCCGTCAGCCCGGTAGACGATCTCTACGGTCAGAGACTGACAACCACAATGACTGGAGGTACCCCGACCCTGGCAGTGCCGAGTATGCCATCATGCCGCTGCGATGCCATCGCGAAGGCAACGAGTCATCCAGTGCGTCCACTCAGGCATTATCATCGCCACTAACATCGGACACGACCCGCCGTCTCTCCGCTGAGATATCAACTCTTGCGTCTCCCGAAAGCAGCCTGCAACTACACCGTCAAGGTGTTATCCAGATGCTCAAGCATCCCTTTCAGGATCTGCTCAGCCAGGAAACATTAGCCCCGCCAAGTCCAACTTTTCATCTATATCAAACGGACCCAAGCCACAGCCTCTCGAGTGCTCGAACGATGGGGACTGGAGCATTGTGTACTGAACAGTGCGCAACGCCAGTGACTTAACCGATACTCTAGCGTCTTTTCTGGTTGGATCGCTTGCATTAATCGACAGGATGCTCGAAGCAACGTGTTTGTAACATTTCTCTCTTCCACCATGAACAGTATCAACAGTATCGATCGCGGAATTCAGGTCTTATCATTTTCAAAGTAGAGAAGATTAGATTTTATGGATGAAAATATCACGAAACTCCATTTGACTCAACCTCACGACTAAAATCCTGGTCAGTAGTGGAAAGAGTAGAGCGACCGGGATCCATCCATAAGCGGTCACGAGCCCCATTGCCCATCCTGTCGCATAAAGATGTTGTTCAGCTGTGGCTGCCGATCCCTTTACATCTATAGGCACAGCATTGACTGCCTAGGTAGCACGGTGATGGCGATCCCGAGTGTAATCGTATGGTCCTAATATGGGCATCGACATTGTAGAGAACCGTCGTCTATGGAAAAGAGGAAAGAGGTAGGAGGCCCGCTCTGAAATGTGCACGCGGGTATAATAGATCCCGGTGATTGTGTACCCAAGGCCACGGATGATTGAAGCCATCACGACAAATTTTCCACGCGAAGTAGATTCAAGAATATTCAAAGACCTTTCCATGTATTATCGAATAGCCAGAAAGTAGTCAATAAAACACCGAGTAGTTCAAACTCAGAACTAACATGCGTCACAATAAACAATACCGACTCTTTCCTCTTCAGAAAATCTGTGAAAATGGTTGGACTGCCAGCAACAACAGCCATTAGCAAGCGAACAACTCTCATTACGTCCACAATCAAACCAAGGCCCACGATCGCCCTTCCGCGCTTTGTGACGATGTCTGAGCACTCTCAGAAGGAGGAAAAAGTTCAGATTTGCGACCGGTCAGGTTTCATATGTCACTCTCGCTCTCTGTCACATCATTGAAAATAGAACAGACAGGCATGGAGTTTTCCAGGTAGGACGAAGAACATCTTGAGAAGGGAGAGCGCTACTAGCTCCCAATGCTTCGACGGTGAGTGCTGCAATTCACACCTCAATCTCTGATAGTAGATCAATGCGGGGCTGTGGTTCCCCGCAGCTCCCAAAATGCTTCTTAAATGAGTTTGACGTGGGTATGCTTTTGGCTGTGTCGTCGAGGTTATGTTACAATTTTGGTAGCACGCAGTGGCTAACCGTCTGTCGAAATAGGCCTCAACGCACCGCACCCATGCAAATCATTGCTTCCACTCTCTCCACTCCTTCCACTTCTTACCAAACCCCGCATTTTCGGTCATGCTTGTGTTTAGGCACAAACTCCTCAGCACGCGTCGTTGATATCCGACCCCGATCCATTTCTGCAGCGCGTCGTTGTGTCATTTTCCTCCAGCAGCATCGCGATTTAGGGCATAAAAGCTGACTGAATGATCCTTCAGTGACATGGGATCTCGCCAAGATTTTGCCGCCAATCGACGGCGGGTTCCGTTTTGGTGTAGGCTCTTAGTCCGGGTGATGGTACCGAAACACGACGGAGTGAGGTCGCAGAAAGCCCATTTACCGAAATAGGCGTAGTTCGGGGTTCTGCAGTTTAGAGCACCTGCACAACTGGCAAACACCGCCGCACGCATCCCGTATGTGGGCGCAAAGAGAAAAGAGGCCTCCAATACATATGCTGCTGAGTATGGCTATGATAACCCAGATAAGTGCCTTTCTCCTGTTCTCGGCCGCTGTTCTGAAGGACAGCATATGAGCTTGATTTCATCGCAATATATGAAACATCAGAACGGAAGTGGACACGCGAGGTTACGCGATGCTCATCAGTGCATTCGGTCTTACTTGTTACTAGCTCTATACATCCCTTCTACAATGCTCTAACCTTCTCAGAAGACTGTTTGGTCTGATCTGTAAGGTTGCGTAGTTTGTCCGGCGAGATGTGATCGATTGTGAAGCAAGTGTGGACGTTCGTTACGGCTCTGATACTGTTAAGCCCAAGTTGGTAACATTGCTTGGTGGGAGGTCAGATTTTCCAATGACCCTGTCTGCCTTGATTTCAGTCGTATATATACCATGGTTGGCATGCGGCGTGCCAACTATCCCATCTTCTATCCACCTTCAAAACAAGATGACCGTGCTACGTCTTCTCGTCTTTTTTGCTCTTCTTAGTCTTATCAAGCAAACAATGGCTTATGACGGAGAAACGTGCCGTGACTATGCGCTTCAGGGTGAGAAGACTAGTTATAATCCATGTTCTTGTCCCGTGTCAGAGGCACTGTCTACTACTCCATACACGTCGGGACAAGTAGCCGCGCCGACCAGCGTCACCACGGCTTACTCAAGCAGCATTGACCGTTCACGACCCGGCGTTGACGCTCCAAAAGCCAAACGCGGCTTCGCCTACAATGACGCGGGCCTCGTCGACAGTTTTACGAAGCACGTGCAGTGCACCAAGTGTTCATGGGCATACAATTGGGACTCCACCGACTACGGACTTCTCCAGCCTTCGCTCGATTTTGTGCCGATGCTGTGGAGCAACGCCCCGGAACACACCGAGCGCTGGCCGCAGAATGTGGAGGCAATGACATTGAGTGGATCTACCCACATCCTCGGTTTCAACGAGTGCGACAGGCCTGACCAGTGCAATCTGAATGCCGAAGCTGCCGCCGTAGCCCATGTGCAATTCGTCAATGGTTACGCTAGTCGACATGGAGTCAAGATTGGGTCACCCGCGATCAGCAACAGCGCTGTCACCGGCCAAGGTCTCAGCTGATTGAGGTTATGGGTGCAGGTGTGCGATAGCCTACCTGTACGCTGCAAGTATGATTTCTGCGTCGCTCATTGGTACGGGGATTCTGTGGAAAGCCTTCTGAATCATGTATCGTCGGTTCGCGAGATATGTCGCGATAAACCCATCTGGCTCACCGAGTTTGCGGTCGACCATGGTAGCGACGAGCAGCATGCTGCGTTCATAAATGCCGTCGTTCCACTTTTGGACGCCATCGATTATCTTGAGCGGTATGCTTATTTCATGATCAGAGAAGGCCGGTTCGTCTACGGCCCCACAATTACGCCATCCGGCCAGGCATATGCCGAGGCGTAGGGTATTGGATCGTTTTGGAATGGGAATATCGCACTGAACACAGTCGGACAGGTTACGGTATCCTAGAGAGGTTGCGTATTTGGTATGTGTCATGATTTGTTGTTGCTAGAAGCAGGCGAGCTACTGCAGCCCGATTGCACGTCGTACTGATTTGGCTCCCATACAATGAATCTAGGAAGCATTTGCTTTGGACTGCTAAAATACTCTACTGATTCGATAAAGGTCATAAGAAGTACCAACTTTTTATAACGTAGTTGTGTAGCATGTTCTGGTCCAAGGGCCTTCGCTCCACTTTTCTCATCACAACTTTTCGCACTTCTATTAAGTGATGTGACATAATGTCTTGGGTGTCTGCTGGTCATCATTGCGGATGTCACGGACTCTTCCAAATGGACAGAGGAATTGGCAAGCGTTTTGTATCGCTTAGAGCTATTTCCGCCCGTTGTCATAGGACCGCATTTATAGGGTGACACTGAAAAACAAATGGTCGATCAAGAAAAGAAAAAAACGAGGGAAAAAAGGTATTTGTTGGGTTTCCGGCGCAAAGCATTTTCGTCACTCTTTGCTCATTTAGTCGGAGCGATATTCAACTGCCATTCTGTTGCCCAACTCTTGCCCAAGATATCATAGACCAGAACATCTTCATCGAGTGAAAACATCAACGCATCTTGAGCACTAAATCCGTGAAGGGCGAACATAGCCGTCGGCCTCGCCAATTGGCAGGGGCGGAAGTTCTTTCATGCAAACTTCAGGTGTCAACGCCTTTGGTGGCTTTCTGAGCACTGATCTTCGGGCTACATTCTCATCCAGGTGAAACCCATCGATGCAGCGACGAAAGTCCGCCGACGTCGGCGTATGAATCCCTTTGTACCATTTTTGAGAGGTGACTTGCAGCTTCGCCCGGGCTTGACTGCCGAGAACATGGACTGAGCGGGGCACCACGATGACCTTGTATGGGAAAAGATAGTCGCGGGGTATTCTGGATGGGTGAACGGGCTGGGTCCATCCGTTTTCTGCCTTGTATCTCTGGTACTTCTGTACACTGGCCGAGTGATTGATGTCGTACGGTTTGAAGAAGTCGATGCACATGGCACAGAACCCTTCCCTCTGGAAGCGTCCTCTTTTTCGGTTGCCACAGAGCTCACGTTGTCTGTGGGCTTGTGGGCTGTTGTCTGCTTCTGGGGGCTTGGCGTGCCGGCATATCATGACGAGCTCCTCTGCGTGGCTGCACACAGTGAAAACGGATTTGAGAACTATACACATGTCCGAAATCGATATGATCAATAGTGAGTCCGAGACGAGGAAGAGGAACACGCGCTTCAAGTATCCGTTTGAACTTGTTGAACCTCGCCCTATGCACGTTGCGTGCTAACAAGACCTTTCAGTTGACCGAGATTGACTTACGAGAGGTGAGCTGAGGTCTTGCTTCTGTGTGTTGAGATCCTTCGTATTGCATAAGATGGCTCTGGACTGCCTAGGAGGTAATACTAGTGAGATCCCGGTGTGAGAGATGTTACGGTCCAAGAAAATGTGGAACCATAGACGTGAACCACGCCTGCCAAGTAAGAAACACTCACTGGTGACCATGACAATGAAACGCATCCAATTGCGGCACACTCTCCACGGTGCGCAGTAATGACAACATTTTACCATGTTGACCCATTTACATAAGAAATGACAGTTGATGATTCCACATCAGCGAGAAGTACCTTAGACCTTTTCGAAGTATCCACGCCGTCTTCTTGCCGTCAGCTGTGATCGTTTATATAAGTCAGTGGGGCTGGCCCTGTCAAGCGTGGGTCGGTCTTTGGAGCTTCATGGAGCTTTATGACAGCCTGATGAGCCATTTGCTACACGAAACAAGATCCCGTCATGCTGAAGTGTCGAGCGGAAGAATGACATCAAAAAGCAGAAAACAACACAACCACTGACTTACGTGATAATTGCACAATCCATCTGACTCGGAGTGTGCAACAACCCCAGTTCGCCCATCTTTGGGCTGTCGACGAACGCGTAAAATGAGAGGGAACAAATGCGTTTTGAAACACGCTGTTGACTAAACGACTTGGTCAGGTTATATACACGGCTGAGAATGCTGAAGACATCCATTAGAACAAAATCGTTTGAATGAAATGGAAAGAATCAAGAAGTCACGATGCTGGAACTTCTCCGTATTTAGATGCCCACAATTGCCATGCAGACGCAAGCTTTCATAGAATCCAGCAGCCCAATCTATACACCATTGATTCGTTTTGCTTCAGAATCGTCGTTTCAATTACAATGCGCAACTTCCCCCCAGAAGTCCTTCTGCTCATATTTGACACCCTGGGAACGTCAGACTTGAGCAGGACGGCAAGATGCTGCAGGTTCTACCATGCGCTCGTCACGCCCAGACTCTACGAGACTTTGCGTATTCGAGTGAGGTCCGGGATACATGATCACCGGATGCCAAAACTTCTCAGCATCTTAATGCGGCCCTCGTACCTCCATCAGTTTATCCGGCGCGTTGAGGTTGTGGTAGATGACGATTGCCTATGGACGCGCGAGACTTCTACGCTGTTGGGCATCATGCTGAAGCATATCCTAAGCTTGTCTAAGACGTCAGCAGCGATTCGGTCATATAGTTGGACTGCTGCGTATCCCTTCACCGGGCTCGTCTTTCCTAATCTACAACAGCTCGACTGCGGTGCCGTCGGTCCACAGAGCATCGAGTGGGTACGGTGGCATCTAAACCACTGCGTGTCGTTAGCGGAAGTTCACCTCTCATTCACGCTGTCCTGCAACCTGACACAAGCGAGGGCTGCGGCTCTTTTGAACCACGCCAATCTCAGCAGAGTCGAGCGATTAAGCCTCGCGTTTACCAACGTGGCTTTGTTCGATCCGAAGAACGTACCTGCGCTGAAGGCACTCGACTTGAGATACTGCCCTGGCACCGAGGCTTTTTGCAGACAACTTGCGCTCGTCGTGCCACCCGACTTGACAGAGGTTCGAATCGTGGCGCATGCAGAGTCAGGGACTCCTGACAATTTCACTGCGTGGCTTAGGTCGGCACGTAATGTCGAACATGTCACCCTCTGCATCGGTGGGCTATCGGAAGCCATCCCGTTCGAGCAGGTAAGGGGACATAGATCGACGCTCCGTACGTTAGTCCTGGATCCCCGGCAGAATGTTGTCGATCCTTCGTCGGTGCTCAAATACAGGCCTGGCGATCTCCGCGACATCGTCGAGCAGTGCGCCTCACTTCAAACGTTGGGTCTTCCTCTGGACTTGCGCAACTACCAGTCTCATCTTCGATACACCAGGTCGCATCAGATTGTAAGACCCCGCATCGCTTCTTATCCCTTTGGCGTTCGCGGCTGACCCACCGATCTCTCGCTGTAGAAACGCATCATCCCGACGTGCATGCTCGAAACCTTGCATCTCCGCGGCCGGGATCAATCGCCCCAACGCAGTCGTGTCGATGCCAAGCATCTGGCACGACGCTTTCTCCTCAAACAGTACAGCGTGAGGGTTCTGATTGGACATGGACGAGGGATGAATGCCTATACGACGACGGACGGCCGGACCATCGTTTCTGCCAGGTTGTCGATGAGAGAGCAGTTCCAGCTTTGTGCAGAGTAGGACTTGCCAAGGCATTTTTTCATCGGTATCGTCAAGTTCGGCTTCGCAGTGAGGCTTAGAGTGATCACTCTGCGAAGTACGTCGATACTGAAGTTATGAGCGTATTCAGGGACTTGGTCCGACAGGGAAAAAATAATACAAGTTCTGAAATTAGCAGACAGAGCTCCAGCCTAGTCTTGGCCAGATTTGCGACTTTGCACAGTATCTTGCATAGTGACTAATATCGTGTGCACAGTACGCGAACATCTCCAAAAGTGTTGGTATACACGTAAGCAGGTCAGACCTTTCGGTCGCGACGTAGGTCAATAGGTCAGGGTGAGTCTATTGTGCGTAAGTGGGAGGGAAGGATCGTGGGCAGAGCCCGCGATCCCTCGATGGGTGTAAGTGGGTGGAAGGGTCCGTCGCACGGGCCCAAACCGCCTACCTACCACCCCTACCTAACTACCCATACCCGACTGCCTACCTAGGCCCCTTTTCTGCCTCGTAATCCAACAAAAAGGCTAGGTGGGGTCCATAAAAGGAAGCATGGTCGCATTTTGCCTTTTTCGTTCATTTTCCCCGTTGGCCACAGGACATCTACCTAACAACAACACTCTTGGTGCCAAATACCTTCTGATTGGTTGTCGTCCAATACTAGGACTCAAAGAGCGATTAGGTAGAGCTCTTGGCAAAGAAGTCGCAGGCCCCTTCGATGAGAATGATATTGAGACGTGGGAGCAAGACCCAAAGCCGAAGCCCGAAGCCGGACACCAGCAATCTCACGGAAGGAAATTGTAGGAGTTTGGCAGACTTCGGAAAGAGCGACAACGGAGACTAGTTATACATCATGAAGGTCAATCTATCAGACACTTTACTTACAGTGGTTGGACCTACGGACGGGTCTGATGATATAAGTGAAGATATATGATTTTTACTACATCGTGGCTTACCGCGGAGTACTCGATCACTGACGGTTGTAAATCTGGTGAGTTGTCCCGTTCTTTATCAACACGCTGTGGAGAAATTTCGCCAGGTATAATCGGCGGCATGATCGACTGGCATGGTTGACTGGCATGTTTCTTTCTCTTTTCCAAACCGTCACGAGTGGAATCGTAATTGGCAGGAGAATAGTCCAATGTATCAGGCTTCAGCTACCATTATGCGAAGATTGCCGAACTGAATGTCTCTTCTGTAGATCTTCTGCGCAGGTTGTTGAGTTTTCATGCACGGCAGTTGTCTGTCAACTGCTCAGGTCTGGTTTTCTAGATCTGTGCTTCTGTGCGCCTTTGGTCCTACAAAAGTACACAAGGGGTTCTACTTCACTAATGGCGCTACGGTTGCGAAGTTATCGATGTATTTAAGCAATCAATCTTCACCTATTAGCGTGTTAATTATCAGAAACTCAACGAAGGCTAGTTCAAGTTGAATTCACTTTCGAAAGAGCATATCACGAACTCGGCTATAGGAGTGTTTTGTATGTGTTTTGGCTTTCTTTTGTCCTTATTTATATCCACCCTCATCCTACCTTACCTATAAAACCTATAGGGACTCTCTTATTACCACAAATAACGTCGTCTCCTAACCCAGCCAAAGGCTCTTTTACGAATCAGATAAGCGTGGGAATCACATGAACATCAGCGAGTAAGGATCCTGCATGCGATTTTGAAGAGGGCCATGACTAAAGACCGTCCCCGATTAAGAGTCTCTGATGTAGACTGTGGGGCACCCGATTACGTGGCTTGGGCGCAAGTATCGTAGCTTGTTTTACCTGCAATGCTTGGGTCACTAAAGCCGACAAGCCTCGGGGCCCCTGCGATTGACGAAGAAAGCGGTGCTACAGGCTGTATCAGTCTCTCGAAATGCCACGGCTAATTTGTCTTCGTCGACTTACAAATCGATTCGGTAGTGTTCCGCGTCTAAGCATCGAAAAGAACTCTAACTCACGGTAACTCATGAGGGGCCTCCTTTCCAGATTTAGGTTATTGGTACAGACAGTGGCCCAATAGTGCTGATCCACCACCAAATTGTCACAAGGTCGAAAGCCAATGTTCAACACTGTTCATTGTCAGCGTGAGAGATGTTGCCTACGTCGCGAAACGACAGATCGTACCTATCTTCACGATTCCTGACAGGGAGACTTGCACGCTGTCTGCAGAGAACGTGACGCCATTGGCGAGCAGATGCTGAATACCATCGAGCAGCTGCTCCATACTCAGCATCGCTTCAAGATTTCTACACCTACGCTAGCTTACCTGGCATAAGGCGGATGCTAGTTCGACTTCTGCCGCGAAGAAAAGGCTCGCTAAGTCTACTTCGAGATGTTCGTAAATGACGTAACTCTTCTTCTCGTCTAGAAATATGGCATGGATTGTGGCAATGTTAGGATGGGAAATGTGGTGGACGAGATCCATAGTGCCTAGTCGAGTCGAGCGTGAGACTGCGACTGTGCTGTTCTTGCGATGCCGGACAAGGCCTATGGCGGCATTAGCACAAATGATATTGTAATGGTCTTCTAGGGAATCTGCTGTGTAAATCAACACAAGACGCTTGACGCGAGATGACGGCATGTCGTCTTTGAGACGAGAGATGTGCAGATTCTTACTGCTCCAAAAGCTTGCGCCGATGGTAAGGTTATAGTCATGGCCATGCTATAATGTTCTAGTTCTATGTCTTTTGTTTCTTGTCTAGCCCTGCGCCATCGATCAGTAGCATAACAGTTGACCTGACCCTCCGACTTCTTGTAATGCTCTGACATAACTTTGGCTGGCTTTCCGCTATCTGAGGAAACTGTACTTGTCCTCTCAACGATCTTTGGGTGCTCTGTTTTATTTTGTTGTTGTTACAATAACAAACTAGCGGTATGTAGACACGAGTTAATACGTCACAAATCCGTGCTTACGTTAGTGGGTTCCACTAAAAGCTAAGATTGTCGGGGGTCCTTTTTCAAGCTATTTTCACGGTTTGACACTGGAGTGCCATAACGCGATCAGGTCATCGTATTGGGCAAGGTGAAATCACTCACAAATCAATATAAGTCGTCAATAACTTACCAATTGCAGCGTCAGTGATTTCTGCCGTAACCCATAATCCAAGCTATTCGCAAACCTCTTCATCTGTCATCGCCAACATACATAGCATCAGATGTAGTCATGATCACCACGTCGTATGACCTACGTCGGGGCGTTCTGAATCACAGTGATTAAACATCCCATGCTCTGACGATTCGAACTACTTAAGATACCATCTGAGCGACTAGACATGCCAGTGATGCCTCATACATTGAGCTGGGTATGCCATTTCTGCTCCCAGACATATCTGTCTATCGTTACAAATCGTTGCCTATACGATGGTCACTATTGTTGCGTGAACAGAAAGGGTGCGAAAAGAAAGAGATGCGTGGACATTGTGGGGTATGGAAAGAACGGCATAGTTCGAGGCCGACCTCAATCTTTCCGTGGCTGCTGGCAGGATTGCACATACCCGTTGCAGTGTAAAGAAAGTTGTGGTGGGGAGTTATGGGACGAATGCACCTGAGTGGTAGCAGGTAGAGTGTGAGGCGATGCGTTGATTGATTGCTGTGAGTTTCGGAATAAGAACGAAAGTTAGTCTATATGCCGCGAACACGAATAGTTTTCTCAAGATATCGATCGATTGCCTCAGTCTTGAAGGAAACGTGGTTTGCATGTGTCATGTCTTGAAACTGGGGTGTAGGATGGCGCCGTAACCTCGGCAGGATCTCCCATGCAGACTATCATGATGCCTATTGCTTTATTATCGAATTAAAAGTCTAAGATCATTGGCTTCCAACCGGGAGCTTGATTTCTATTAAGAGATGTGAAACACACCATTTCTTACTTACGCAACGCCGTGAGTGACTTAAGCCAGTCGAAATACCTAGCGTCCTTTCACTATATCTGCTATTCAATAGATAGAACATTGGATGCAATACTCGCAGTAAGAAAATGCGTTCTGTTCCTTGCCCGACGTCAGCCGCCTGACCCAGACTTGCTGCCGCGATCTTCGACACCTACGATGCATCACTGATATAGAGTGACCGAACCGGGGCGCTCGATAGCGTGTCCAGACATTCTAACAGTAGCGCCAAAAGGTTACATGAGGATGACAAAGATACAACAGAAGATGTTGACCGCAACGATTACCCTTACACTTGCTGCGCTCACAATGTGAACTTGCTTTCCAAGTACTTCTATACGATCTCTGGCATTCGCTCTTTCCCATCACTTTGTATCAAACAGCAAGGAGGTATCAGAAATACGACTCAGACCCATACGCAATCGACTAAGCCAGGACAGTCGCCGAGTCGAGCCTGGGCCGCTGATAGTTCGGAAATTGCGCAAAACACGCAGAAATCTTCTACAACGGGTATCAATCTGGCTCGGAAACCAGCGGAAACAGGGAAGCCAAAGATAAAACCAGACAGCGCTGCGAGAACCGCTACGCAACCATCCGAAAGCAGATGCTGTGCGCAGAGAGATCGCGAGATAGACCTCACTGACGACTTACAGACTCGGGCAGAAGTATTCTGTGTCATCGGGTGATCTTCAACTTTGAACCGGGGCATAAAACATGGCACAGCGCGGGGAAGGCCGGTGCTGACGTGTGAGCAGGGGGCTTTATACTTTCTACCGGATAGGCTGCAGCGTGTGAGAGAGGTAAGTTACAGAGTGGACTCCAACCAGCAGCATGCGACAAAAGCATCAATGAAAAATATAACGGAAAGAGGCCAAAATTGGGTTCTGAGTGGTGGATCCTCGGACTAGGGCGTGTGAGAGCTCGCATTACGTAGGGATGCAATATAGTCATGGAATCCATTGTTGTTATACTCATCTCCGTTGCATCTCTCCATTTGCTATCGCGGTTGAAGATCAGAAAAATACAAGAAGCATGTGGGCTGGCGAAGCACAGCTGCGTTTCTCTCGACGCACCGTCCGCACAAGAACGACTTCAGCATGTCCGTTTCCGACCGTGACCTTCCAAATTCGCCAGCCCAGCAGATGAATCAACTTTCTGTTGCTCTCAGCGCCGTTGAGCAAGAGATCAAAATGCTTCAGGATAGGTTAGAGGCACTGGAGAGAGAACGACAGCGACGAGACATCCTGATAGCGCTCCAGGACCAATATATCGAGGTTTTAGAAAAGGGCCTGGCATTGGAGACACCGATGTATCGGACGGAAGATAGCTATAGAGAGAGCCATAGCGCCACCCAGATCGTCTAGTAGAGCCGCGGCTTCTGATGACACTTCTTTCCTGACCCCTTCCCTCCAATATACTATTGCCAATCCGATTTTCGATCGTGCAGGGACCATCGCACGTGGAGCATGCTGCGCATTTGAGGATCGATTCGTCTGTGGGTGTGAAAAATACATCTAGTCCTTCCAGAACAACGCGAATTGTCCAAAATTAGCCAAGCTTGATTGCATCTGGTCGTCTTGCGCAGTTGAGACGAAACTACTGTGCATTTCAGTCATCATCCATACGCCAGACATGGTCCCCATCATCGCTCAATGGGCTTGCGTGTGGAGTGCCATCCTGAGCAGACTACTGCACACACCAGACCAACAAAAAGTTTGCCGCCGCTGCTAGCGCGAAGCCTGACTAAATGAAGTGGCTAGACTCTATTGGTCAAAGGTGCGGTAGACCGGTCTTCCATGCGTTACAAATCAGCTGTTGGTTATATCTTGAGATGTCGTGAGAACTAGAATGACGTTGGTTTAACGTTATTAACATATTGGCCCACCTGACTTTGAGGCGCCGCAGCTGCCCCCGCTTCGATGAACGAGCAAATTGAGAGGCCTGGACTGTGCTTCTCCTGAGCAAGCGACCATACCTTGGGAGCTTCGGATTTGCCAGGCCGTCGCAGTGCAAGGGCGGACGTCCAATCGTTGCCTGCAGCGTGCAGGAGCCACCAGCCCCATTTGGACGCGGCATAACCTAACCACCGGCTAATTAGCGCAACGCATCATTCGCTTGACCTACCCTTCGACTTTTTTGGTGATTGTCACTCCGCAGTGCCTTGGCCTGTATGGATCATCCAATATGGGTCCATCGTGGGGCCATGTTTGGTGAGCCAACGAGCTTGATTAACAAAGGAGTGGAAGTCACAGCGTCGAAGCAGCGGCCGCCGGCAGCCTCAACCGGAAACCGTGTTGGCCTACCGGAACAAAGGTTTCTACCCTATTCGCGGTGTCCGTTGGGCCTCCTACGGCGGGAGATGGACGGACCATTTCCTCGATGCACACCTTCCAACACGGTTTTTGAGGAAGCCTTCGTTGCCGGGGTCGGCTGACTTTGAATCCATTTTCTTGACCGCTAAGTTTTCCGAGCACAAGCTCGACTCTCTTAGTGGGCTACGCGCTACCGCCGCAGAGTGGCCCATCCACTGTCGGGCGGTCTGATTGTGGCTTGGTCTGAAAACTCGCAAGGTATCCTGTCTGCTCGCTGCACCGCCGCAATATGCATACGTGGTAGACTTTCAACAATACTTTTGAACATTAGTGTTGAAATCCCTGTCACAGAGAATTCATTTCGAACTGTGAGTTGAAGAAGAGGTCAATTGATCTATCTGAACTTCTGCGTAAGGTGTAAGAGAGAGGTTCCACCCACGGATTGGGCAGGCCGCGCTTCTCGTAAGTGGGGCTTGTAGATGGTCCCTGCGCGGACCCCTTGCCTCGAGGTCGAATTGGACTTCCTATCCGACAATTAGCAACAGTAGCTTGCGGTGTGAGACGCGGACGCACAGCTTGCTTTCGGAGATGCCAAACTCGAATGCATCTGTAGCGTGGCAGAGACTCGTCCTAGTGGAGGCGACGGGTTTGTTCGATCGCCTTTTAGGCTGTCACATACGATGGACCTCTTCGCAACGCTTCATGACTTGCTCGGACTAGGTTGCGGCCGGAGGATCCTGTCGGACATGCAGCTGTTCGTGGCATGCTCATCCGGGCTCTTCCAGACGGTGCCAGGGACGATGACTTGCTTGCTCGTCAGGATCCGATTGGGGTCGCCGAACGCTTATCACGAGGTCATTCGCTTGGCCGCCCTGTCAATTGTTGCGCATCCCTGGTACCTCAGAAAGCCATGATGAGGACGACAGACCGGCCGAACGGTAAATTCGACAAAACTCAATCGACTATTTGCCAAATTATCTTTCCAGAGCATCACGTTCGCGGTAGCGGATTCCGAGAAAGGTGATACCATCAGCGTTCTTCTCCAACTAAATTGGGGAATAATGGAGTGCAACATAACGAAACGTGCCAGGGTAAGATAACCAACCTTCCAACAAAATAGGTAACATGGCTACAGCAAGTAAGTTGAACATGCCAGGGGCCGCAGCGCCTCGCTGCTAGACGGTCGACGAATGATCGCATTAGTTTAATCAGCCCTATTAACTTTGCTTCATAAATTGTCTCCAGAGTGGTCAGATCACTTAGCCATTGACCAGTCAGTACGGCGTTTCGTCGCATCTCTGAATATCGCTTCGGTGCTCTGACCCGACGTTCGCGATGGATCTATTGATTAGTTTTATCAAGTTCGCATCATTTCACTGTCAACCTCCGTAAGTGTCCCTCAGATCTTCGTACGACACAAATTTGACACTCGATAGAAATAGCAATGTCCGACCGGCCGTAGCCCACCATGAAGATGCATTTCCCGCGCCTGTTCGCGCACCGGTCGCGATCATGATGCAAGTCAAGTATGGCAGGTCCTTGCCTGTCACAATGAACGAAGATGCAGACATGGCGGGCGGTGTCGAGCACACCCTGCCCAGCATCTACTCTATCACCGGTCATCGCCGTGACGCTGATGTCGAGACACTTTTCCAGCTGCGAATCGAAGGGAAAGACGGACGACAAGCTTGGGTCCCTGAGAGCGCTGTTCAAGAGAATTTAGAAATGGCCCTTTTCGCCTACTGGGACAGTGTCGCGGATGGGCGTTTGGGCGCAATGGCCCACAAAGACCTTTGGCATCCGTTCAGGATCGAGGGTCATAGAAAGACTCCCAGGGGTAGTCAGCTATTGGTTTACTGGGTGGGGTCGCCCAAGCGGTCTTGGCAATACGAGAGAGTCATTGTCAAGGCTGATCCCAAGCTCGTCGAGGACTACCGGGTTTCCGTACGGCAACATCAAAAACAGGACCAAAATATCCTGTGTGCGAGAAAACCAGCTCGTCGTCGACAAAGAAAGCGGAAGGTGTGTCAGAACCATGCAAGGTCAAACAGAATAACCAAGAAATATGCGTACTCAAGGCGATCGGGGTAGCCGACACAGGGCGGATAAGCTTGTGCAATCTCGTGGAGCAAACTGTCTTTCTTGCGTTCATAGATAGGAAGAACTACGCCATAAGTTGGTATTCAGGTACTTTACCATTCCAACAATGCTGCTATCGCGGGTATCTGATTGCACCTGCCGCCTCAGTCGTGATCAGCAAAGACTCTCTTCTATCTTTACACCATCACACTCATGCCAAGCTTGGCAAGATTAGCAAGGCTTTCCGTGGAATGCTAGCGGTAGATTTAGCCGCATTGTATATGGGGGTGGTTTATCTGATTACGAGTACGATTATATTGCTCAGCATCAAATATATTAGAGACACATGAAGGCAACACCGCATTTTTTTTCTTTCGCATAGAGCTATTTCCACTTGTCGTAGCATGATTCTGCGGCTCAAAGGGCATTATTTCGAAGGTCGCAGGTCTCTTCCTTTGAGAACTGGGCGACTAAGTCGACAAAGTAGAATTCGGCATCTGGTAATTCGTATCGATGTCGTTGACCACGAAGCTTCAAATAAAGTATTGCAGCAATTTTGCATGGACTACTGCCTCAAACTAATCAAACACCCATCCTAGACCGTTGAGAGATTCAGTTCGTATGAGTGACGGCAATTAGAGCTCTAGGCGAATCCGTGGTGACATGGCCTACTTTATACATGGTATCGGCTGTGATGCTGTGGGGGGCAGAAGCCGTTGTGTAAGTCAAGAAGCGGAGCGGCTTTATCCTTGGAGTAATCAAATGGAACTTTTCTCAGATCATATTATTGTAACTGCTTATCTTAAGATGACGACTACAGTAGTTGCCCATATGAGTTCTAGCGAATTGGGGGATGGGTCTTGGCGGTGCTACAGAGCTATTTCATCACTTCTTCTCTTGCTAGGAGAGACTATAAGTCTCAGAGCAATATGGAGGATTGAAACACGGCACGGATATTGTGTTGTTTTATCGGGCTTTCACTACCCATTGTCATCAGCGAAAGTTGCTGAACGGCATACGCGGCTTTGTTCCCATGTCGACTACCGGCGGTGATTCGTCAACCAGCACCCCTGATGGCGCGCGGAATGAAGCAGCTGACGAACCAGGCAACTCAAACGCTGTCGATGGGGGATTTTCAACACCATATCTTCTCCCTTGCTGGTCCGTCGGCTGTTCCAGGTAGTGATAGTAGTGATGGGTGTGATGATGGTTATGATAGTGATGTATGACAACAGTCCGCTCCTTCCTTCGTGAGCGGCATCGCCTGCAGATACCACTGATAGGTTCTGAGCCAGGTTGGATTGGATGTTTCCTATGATAAGATTCAGACCGCGGCCTATGGCATACGACACAGCTGTGCTGCAACGACATAATTTCGGCTGCTTTGGTAGACAAGTAATGGGTGCGTGAACTTGGTTCCGTAGTCATTGTAGAAAGGCCACTTATATAGGCGTCACGAGTAGGTTTTCGCATTACTGAATGGTTCATGAACAACCGTCGCGGATAGCGTGAAGCGTGTAATAGGCTTAGTCTGATGACAGAAGTCATGACTTGAGAGGAATTTACGAGATTACGATTGACTAAGCAATTCAGCTCAAATCACGTAAATAGACAGAAACCCATGCATGAGGGGTGGTGAACAACAATATACTTAAACACCTGAGTGTCGTCTACAACAACTGCAATAATATCCAGTAATTACTGCAATGGAACAAAGATCTCCCCTTCATCCTCTGCGAGTACTCTTGATCATGACCACAAGTCTTTACATTATTGGTGTTGTAGTACATCTTGTCCTGCCCATTATGCAACTGGTGACAATCTTCGCCTTAGTGTTGGTGTTGGCAAAGCCGGAAAACCGCGATGATTTATTTCATTTAGCATCGTTTTCAACACCACTCCGACGACTACTATCGATTTTCGCTCCCTTCGCCTCGTTCCGGGATATGAAAGAGTTCGTCATTAACTTCTTTCGCCAGCGAGCCAATGTACAGCCACTGCAGATGCGAGACACTACACCTCCTGGTAAACTTGACCCAGTACCTACGTAGCGTAGCAAAGATGTCATAATACCAAGATATATAATGCATTTGTTCCAGGTTCAAATTCAAGTCAAGGAGCTTTGATTCAGCGCCACGCCTTGTCTTAAAGTGGTCAATGAGCGCAGTAGCTAGAAGTGGCCTGTGCTAGACCGTCCGATCAACCCAAACGAAGAAACCTGTTACCTAGCTATTGCTTTGCGCGTGAGCCAAGCATAATCTCGGCTTCAATGCCGCACGGCGTGCTTTCTCCAGTTCCATTTCCTATGCTTTTTACGTCCAATACTCAAGAAAACAATCGTTTCTCGTTAAAATGGGATGTGTTGCTGGATGCGCCAGTTTGCTACGGCGGGCGCGAATATGCACAAGCCGCAGAAACTCCATCCCGTACCCGTAGCACTCTTCCAACACACGGCAAAGAATACGTCGTAGACGTGTCACTCGGAATTCCTTCTCTACTACCTCGAACCAATCAACAGAGCATTGCAAGCAAGCAAATGGTAGTACGAGTCTCCATGAAATCATTTCCTACATCAGAATCGATCTTGCCAGCTCCTCTTATGGAAGAGAGTCTGAGTCAGATTTAACGCGCTCGATTCTGGCTGATATGAAGTTGGTATGAAGCTGGTAGAGAATCCTTTCCTAGGAACTTATTTCTGTTACCGTCCTGATCGGGTTTTGGAGTTTGTACGTGCTTTGCAATATTACTACACGATTCAGATGTATGTATAATAGGTGAACAACGAGATCGTGCGAATGACATGATGGCGTGGCTGGGCAGGTCCTCCGCACTAATTAGTCATCATCGAGGAGAGGTGGAAAGTTATTGAATGATGTGATCAGTTAATACAAAGGTGTTTCTCCGCTTTGCGTCTGTCATTATGGATGCCACTTTCTGTTGTTTGACGGGCTTCCTTGCTTGAATTAGCGCATTCAGACGTCCGGTTAGTCATCATGAACCACACCAGAAACGTGAACGGAAGTCTCTGGGTTTTTCATGCACAGAATCGAGCGATGAGGCGTGACGATCGCCAACGCCATTTTTGGGATAGATAGTCTAGATTTCTTCCGTTTGGCCTTTAGGCTTACGCTTCTCATGTCTACATAACGTTGAGCGGCTACCATGTTGTCTGCGTGGAACCATGACTCTATGTAGTTCTTCAAATGTCGCGACATCAGCTGCAAGTAGGCTTTCTCAACTTTGGGTCCTGAGTTTGCTCCCGAAACTAAAATGCGAAGACAATAGCGTGTTCCAGTCGAGGGGCTTATGTGCCCAGTTTTGCGATACTTGGGCTTTCGCCATTTTGCAACAATCCCAATGCTGGTGTTCCAATGAGTCTCCCGTCTCGGGACTAACCGAAGCATCGTCATGCGACTCCCCATGTCCCGGGTACCCGTATGAGACTTGTGGGGGCAAAGGCCTTTTCAGCTACGTAGCACTTCACAGGGTCGCCTCGCCCGATGATAGCATCACCTCCGTGGCTAGTATTCCGAAGCAAACATCGGTGGAGATGTTGTATGAGACCCGAACTACTGAGAACACTCTCATCAAGACAGTAACACAGACGGTCACCGTCACCAAAGGCGACACTGAAGTTCCGACAGACGACCCGAATATCACGACAACTGCCCTTTCGTCGACAGGATCAGCAGCGCCAGCTTCCAGTAAGAAGCTCAAGCAGACACAAATAGCCGGCATTATCGGGGGAGTCCTCGCCACAATGTTGATCGTGTTGGTCATTAGTGCATGGAGCCTTCATCGGCGGCGGACACCTTTGAAGCAAGATGACTTGAATACAGGCTCCGTCAGCGAGCTCACACATTTTCCTGGCAGACTTGGGGTACTGCGTATTACTAATCCGGACTAAGGCCTGACTGGGCATGAACCACTTCAACGGTAGTACTTAGACGATGGGTTCTCGTGACTGTCTCGTCAGAACTTGGAATACTCATACTTGGTAACAATATCAGCGAGCCCTGCTGAGTCTACGACAGTCGGTGATCAGACATGTCTCACGACCAGCTTGTTACTGTACATGTTGAAGTGTATCAGCTTGATCTGTATTCATGTTGTGTGATCACTTGACGTGTTTAAATTGCATCACGCTTTTAATGATTATTGTCATATTCATAGACGATTCACGTTGCTACCCATTGTCATGCAGCCTCGGATTGGTTTCGGTTGTTAATCAACTTGATTTCAGCATGGCACGCTACGGAAACTAGTATAGGCAGCGACTGGATCTTCTCTCATGTATAACTTGAAAGTAGTGACAACAGCTAGCACAGACCATCCAGATCAGTCTTATCACACGTAAGAGAAGAGCATTCCATCTTGACAAGGAAAATTCATACATCGGGGTCTCGATCTCAGCTACTGCCTGACGGGATACGGAACGTTCACTACAGTATGACCCTCCAGAACAGCGGGAAAGCCGAGAGTATGTGGACATACTGGGTTCAGGCCGAGAGCAAGGTCTACAATACAGGTTTCATCGTAACCATACTGACAATCATTCCCCTGCGGAATGTTGTAGAGTTGGTAGTTTTGTGCAACCCAACTAGCAGGCTGAGACAAACATTTACCCAAATACGTCATGCTGTTTGATGCAGACAGTGGCAGCTTACCATGCAAGAGGAGATCAACGCACTCATCCGCCTCCACAAACTCGTAGTCCATTTCAACCCCACCTCCAGTAGTCGGTGCTTCTAGCGCGGACTTTCCTGTCACGAGGTAGTTCCACGCATCGTAACTAATATCATACGATCCCTTGGACTCATCAACCTTCAACAGATGGAGGCTTCGAACACCGTGCGACACCTTGACACAGATCGCATCACAGTCGACCTCGCTCGGCCAGTACGCTACACGATTGTGGTTAATTTTGCATCCTAGAACCCCGACAGAAGACCCGTACAAGGCGTGAGGCTTGACTGACAGTGTATGAGCCCCAGCCATGGCGGCTAAACTGGCCGAGAGACTGACGATCAACGGGAAAAGCATCTTTGTAGGAGATTGTCTACTTGATGGGGCTTGTGTCTTTTATGTCTTTGACCCTCGTCCTATCAGACCATAAGTGTTGTAAGGAATTAGGCAATTATCTGAGGTGGCTCGACTTAGCAAGACTTTTTGAGATTTAAATTTACAACTTTAGCGCGTTCTCGTCACTGATTCTGCCATAACCTGAGAACTCAGATGCACCCTTACGGATTTAGTCATACTGAGAAGTCTTTGACCAGAATTGCGTCTTATTGGATTGCTGGTCAAATGATTACGATCGTATGTACCCATTGGTTTGTCTAGCCGGCGTTTCCTCTCTTGCATTACCTGGATATTTGACACTTGGCGATGATGATGCCGGTGCGACAGGAATGAAGTGGGGGCAAGCTACAAATAGATGCACATATTATTACCTGATGTAGCCGATCCCTGCCACGATACAGTCACACAGCTCGAGATCCGATAATAAGACAACTATGGCACGTCGGATGACGTTGGAGAGCTTAGTTGGATGTAAATACGGATATCATGAATACACCTTACTGGCCCAAGTGAACTGAAACGAGGACCACTCATGTCGGCTTTCTTTACTTTTCTCTTTCGCTTCTCCTTTTTATTCAGTTTGTCACATAATACGTAGACTACGCCGTTGTTTTGAGCTGCATTACATTGGATGATAATTTATCCGTATCTTTCGCATCTCGTACTCTCCCCATGTACCCTCTCTATCCGTTGCCTGGCCGTTGGAAAACGTCTCACAGCTGAGGCATGGAGTCTCGATAAGCCGATGGGTATTCTCGGCCTCCACACAGAAAAGCTCTCCGCGTTTACACAGTGCGCCTCAGACCCACGACGACTACCTTTACGTTACAAAGCCAGACTAGACCACGGACAGCTCGACAGCGCTCCTGGTCTGTCGGGACGATACGTGCACAGTTGCGCAGGAACCGCCAGGTAAACTATTGAGCCTCGACGTATATGGTTCAGCTGTGTCCCTAGCGCGGTGAGCCGGCTTCCGCTTCCTCCGGAGCGAAGACTAGTCGATCCTCTGCCAGGACTACGTAACACTCGGCCGGACGGCTCTCAAAGACCAAAAGAGATCACCGCCGATATTAGCAGCGACGGAACGACATATCCAGCAATCTATCGAGTGAGTATTTGTATATTTCATGTGTGTGTCTACGCAGGGCGACGCTTGGACGCAAACGTGTCGCGTTCAATAATTATATCGACTCAATTTGACAGCGTTTGCGTCAAAAAGACTTAACAAGAGGCATAGATGACATGGACTAGCACCAGCTTCACTGGGCAAGGTAGACACGCTATCTCACCACACCATCAGTCCACTCCACTTAACAGCCACAAGGTTCATGGAGTCAACCCCAACTACTGAGAGTGCGAGCATTACATTTCGACCGTCTGGTTCAACAAGTCTTTTTCACGTGCTCTGGAAAGAACGTTACGACTTGAGAGTGATGAAATACCATCTAGAACTATTTCATCGTACGGTCTTGTCGTTTTATGAGAGACGCAGGGGCTTGCTGGTGATACATTCCAGCATTGTTGTGACATCTTCGTACAAGATAATCCAGTCGACCTGTCTCAATCGCGCCAATTTGTGATGCGTTGCAAAGGCACCAACTACGATAATTCCCTGGTACTCAGCGTTCGATCCAGGTCGCTGCAGTACACGGTAGCCGTTGTGGAAAACGCGGCCGATGGCGAGAGACGCCCTCTCTGGGTGTACACCGTCTTTAATGTTTACCCAGCCATTGCTTTCGAGCAAGCTGTCTAGCGTATGTTCAGCCAATCTCCAAGGCCCGAGTATGCGGCCCGTGCAGTAGTCGTTCAAAAGGTGGAGGTTGAATCTGGTACTGTCGCGACATATTCCAATGACCAGTAAGCAATCGAATCGATTTTTGTCCAGAATGCGTTTCGCCTCATACGCTGCGTTAGGGTTCCAGAATTGGGTGATCGGCGTCAAAGCAAACCAAATCTCGTCTTCCATCACATCCGTGTCCTTGAGCAGAAAGAAGTCGTCCACTTCCGGGCAGTCGAGTTGTGGGGCGGGCTTCTGATGTCCCATACACTCAATGACGTGTCTTGGTTCCGCAAGTCTGATCAATGTCGGGTCGATGCCAGTAAGACTTGGTTCAATATGGAACTTGGATCGAATTTGAGGTGCATCGTGGCCTGCTCTTGCTGGTCTTCGACGTCTTACAAGTTGTCGAGACGGAATGGGCGCTTCTAGCCGCGGAACCATCCGCTGTTGTTTCGGTCGCAGGAACGATGGCGGAGGAAAGGTTCCCGCCCCTTCATGGCGCGGGGATGTTTGCGCTCTTTGGAGTCGCCGTGCCTCTGTCAGAACTTTGGCAAACGAAACCATGTTGTTCCTCGATGCTACGCGGTGTGTGCTGTCGCCGGTCAGGATGGTCGACCCACGGTCCTCAGACTCGTTTTGTATGGCTACCGATAATGGTCAAGTCTTAGTTCTCCAGACACTGTCAGTTGATCAATCTTCGCCTCCATATTCGACCGATGAGCAGCGAGAAAGTTATAGACTTGTCTCAATATTGTTTTAGGGGCGATATTTCAGTCAACGCTACTTCATTACCGGCATTGAAAAGATCTCCCGAACAGTAATCTACAGGGCATGTGGCAGCTAACGTAACCGCCGATTATCGAGAGCGTCATTGTAGTAAAGTCAGCAATTCGCAGCTGCTTACTTCTGACGTCAAGAGCAACTAGTGGTGGGTTTTTGAGAGGTAGCCAATTCCGGACACATAACAGGTACGAGAGGAAGAAAGAGCATTCTGGTAGTGTTAGCCACCGTTCGTTTGCAGTCCAATCAATCATCTGGTCGACCGTACGCGTTCCGTATATGACATGCTTGCGCACGAGGCAAACTCAACGTCTAACTTAAATCAGTACATTTTCTTGAGATGTTGCCAGTCGGATCATGACTGGATAACAAGCTTTTCGTCAAACAAAACGTGGGCGCGTAACCCGGTGATGTGGGTTAGGCTACTGTCCGGCCACCTTGGCATCTGGGCTCTAAATCGTGTTTTCCTTCTATAGTTGAACTGGGGCAAATACAAAACATACCTGCAGTTTTGATCGTGCTATTACTCAAACCACGAACATTTATTTCTTACGAAGAAACTATCATACGATCTATCAAGGATTTAACTTAGTACTCAGACAGGGTCATTATGGTCAACAGGACGACTTTCGAATTCTTGGTTCCTCCCTTCCAGAACATACATTGAGAAGGCTGGCAATAGTCCCGATGCGCTGGATCACCTGGTCCCAGACATTGGAGCTCATCAGGCGATGTTCCTATACAAAGCCCAATGAGTTCCTCACTGCCTTGAAAGCGCTTGAATAATAGTGGATTTTATGACATATATTATCGCTACCAGCCTTTGTAGATCGGTGACATGTCCATCTTGACTCTGCACTACGTACCTTCCATCCGCTGTGGTGAGCTTCAATTGGCCAGTCCCTTTTCCCCACCCATGTCGTTATCATGTTAGTATGTTGACTATTCTGTCACTGTTATGGAAAGGCTGGTGATGACAGCCATCGAACTCGTTTCCTCCCGAAGTAACCGCTTTCTTCTTTACGTCTCTAAACCGGGCTATCTTGTTGCTGACGTCCCACTTTAACTCTAATATGTTATTTTGAGACTATCTAGGTCGTCCTAACGCCTGGATTCACAGACGCTGGGGACAAAAGGAGCAATAAAGAAAATATGTGAACGTCACCATTTGAACGCCCAACTTGAATTGACTTATTCTCCTTTGCTCATATGCTACATCTCCGAACCACGACTTTCAATTCACTATTCATTGTTTTTTCCATTGCAGTCTAAACTCAACATCCGACCTGCAACCATGCGGGAGGGGCTCAAACGAGATGCTACTGAGCTTGGGAGCCCCGACGAGGTGCCCATCGCGAGTGGGCAGAGGGCAGCATCTCTCTCCAGAACGCATGAGCTAGGTGACGAGTACTCTCAAGAGTTTTTCAAATTTATGAAGCATATAGAGGCACGTACTTCAGAATTCCAGATAACCTGACACTCGGGTTGCTTCCGCTAAACTGACAAACACCAAGGCCGAGACGATGCCTGCCATGAGCCGCTTTCCGGATGGGATAAGACAAATGAGACCGGACATCGTCCGAGATCTCCAAGTGGCTCATGCTATGCTTGGCCTACTTCCAGAAACGCTGTTTTTATCGGTCAACATTGTCGACAGGTTCTGCTGTGAACAAAGCTTCTGTGGGGGGGCATACTACAAGTTGGTCAGCTGTACTGCCTTATGGATTGCGTCCAAGTACATTGAAGAAAAGGGGCGGGTGCCATCTCTCAAGAGGCTTTTGCATTTCATTCCCGAAGGGTGTTATCAAAACGAGAGATTCTTCGTCCGGTTAGAAATGGACATCCTTACTGAACTGAAGTGGCGCGTCAACCACCCAACCCCATATTTCTTCATTCAGCTTCTTGAGATGGACGACGATAACGAAGCTGCAGTGAGGAAGTTGGCAGTGGATATTTGCGAAGCCAACTTGGCTGAGAATGAACTTATAGGTGCTAGGTCATCTGTTCTGGCTTCTCAATGTTTGCTATTTGCCGGCGATGCCTTGCTAGCCGTCAATAGTGAGTTTGACCACTGATTTGGTCGGTTGACTCCTGACAATGGCAGCAATCAGTCTCCGATTGAATAAAGCTTTCTCTGAGTCGGTAGCTGCTGGTTAGATCTGATGTTGATTCAGCCATACTTCAGAGGCAATGAGAATGTCTACTGTGTCAAGGCGTTGTTAGGAAAAACACATTTTGTTGATTAGTACTAAGACATATTTGTGACATGTTGATTCATTTCAAGCCCCCAAACGTTAGCTTTAGGCATCATCTATGAGGAATCAGACATTCTTGTGACTAAAACCTCAATCTATTTCACATTTTGTCCACTTGCCGTAGTGAAACAATGAAAGTCAGGAAGTATGGCAGTGCCGGAAATGGATGAGAAGTATACCTACAGTCCTTGCTATGATTGCGAGCAATTGCGCTAATTTATCCGCAACGATCAGGGATAGGTTAGGGTCACCTGCCAGTAACAAGCTCTTTATCAAGTAGAATACATTGTGTAAGGCTGTGCTGGAGTATCGGTCCGTCAACTTTGGCAAGGTGGGCTTCGGTGTTATGATCGCCCCTGGCTACTAACATCGTTGGTTGTTGATTGGAGTTTAAGACGTATTGGCGTATACGGTCAGCTGGACCATGCCGTCAAGCATTGCCTTCTGCACTGAAGGCCCAAATGATCTGCTTCGACTGTTCCATGAACCATATGTGCTTGCCCCGTCCTCACAGCTCAAATCTTTTCGTCCAGCCAACAGCCGACGCACTCAAAAATTTACCTACGAGAAGCGAAAAGGCAACTCAAAATTCCAACTGCTGACTTTGAAATGGACTTCAATCAGATTAGGGCGATGAGGAATCTTCACTTTACCCACGAAAAGGGATTTACATAGCCAGAACATGGACAAGTTTACGACGGCCTGGCCTTCTAAGGTTTCCATGATGCGTCCAAGGTCTAGTAAGACTATTCGTAGGTAGTAGGCATCTCCACACACCATGAAGTTTATGGGCCACATAATATACTGATATCGGCCAACGCAAACTGCACGGGATGAGGTCGTAACACAACAGGTCAAAAGTACCGATTATTCTAGGCATCAGTAGTGAGTTACCCATAATGTCAAGCCGCTGTTCGCGATCATTTCATGAGGTGATAGGGAATAATCAGATCAACCATCGAATGTTATGTTACATTGGCGTTGACTAACGACTAACGAGCTATGACAACAGACCACGCTTGAGCCTCTGCAAACTGACGTCTCGAGAATTGTTCTCAAGGCAGACTAGTCGGCCTAGACCCAAGATGAATGTCGGCAACGTGCAGCAGTGGCTGTCATTTGATTCAAGATGAACTGTAGCGCAGCGTGCGTGCTGGCATCTCGGAAAAATACTTACGCGGTGCAAGATGCGCTAATGCTATCAAGCTTCGACACACTAGTAACAGCCTGAGTCACTGCCGTGATTATCACTTCAGGGGTTCTCCTTCTGAGACCAAGATCACTTCTGTCTCGTTCTAGGCCCCTCTGAGGCTCTGCCGTACCCTTCGCAGTAAACAAAGTCCTCGTCGGCACCTTTGTTTGTTTTCGTCCAACAGCTTATGCTCCTGAAAGTGGTGCCTTTCGCGACGTTCCTACGTGTGATCTGAAACACAGATATGATGTAAATCTCGTCTCTGAAACAGAATGGCGATGGCTTCGGACTGTCGTGCCACCGAGCCACCTCCTGGTGCCTTTGCCATTCCATACGAAGCTTGGGTGGTATATCAATGGGCTGTCGGCCTCCATTGAACAATCATTAGAAGCCCCTACTAGCTTGCGGCAAATATGACCTGCGTTTCACCAGAGATGAGAAAGAAAAGGAATCGAGATGCTCAAGCCAAGCACCGAAAAAAGAAGCAAGAAGAAACTAGACGCTTGCAATCAGAAGTGGATCATCTCCGCAGAAAACTGCAGGAAGTCCGTGACGCCATGGCAAGCAACGACATGCAACGACTGGAATATGTTGTGCTAGGTGAGATGCGTCCTTCGACGCCTCAGCCCGATACGTCAGGCACAGTCGAGTTAGGCACGCCAATCACTGACGCAGGGTACGCCGAGTCGTCCGATCCTTCCTCAATATCATCTCTTATTCCCTACTCGGACTGCAGCACACTCGGCTGTACGCTCCCCCCACCAGAATACAACCTTTACCCCGATACCATATTTCAAACACCATTTGCGGAAGGCTACAGCCAAATGCTACCATGGAATTTGATTCCCTCGGTTCCGGCATTGCCCAGCATTGAGATACCAGGATTGCTCGACATGTCATCATGGCTCGATCCGCAGCTACCAATCTCATGATCACTATACGTATACCGTCGAGGGGAAAAGTACTTCTCATCTGCATAATAGAACTTTTCATACAATGAAACATCTCGTGACTTCTGCGTGTTGAAGAAAGGCCATTGCGTGTCCTTAGGGAAATTCCGTCTTGTGGCCACTGTTGTGTACCAATGCTACTGTGCAAGGCTGAACGCGGGTCTAAAAGCCACAAGACTCAAATCATCCACATTCGATGTCAATCTTAATGTTCAGAATTTCAAATACAAATGGACAAGTGGGATTTGTACGTCTGATAACCTTCGAGTAACCGCCCCTGTACATTTGAGTCCAAGTACAGGTGTCTTCCAACTGAATGAATGGACAAAGTCATGCTTGGAGAGGCTGATCAGAAATTGTCACCCCCGAATTAGGTCAGATGGATTTAGGACCTATTCAGCGTATTTTTTACAACCAATCACACGTAGGCTCATGTTTTCTTGAAGGGGTTTCGGTTTAACATCACATAAAGCACAAGATCAGATGCTTACATCATTTAAGTTCCATCATTGTAGGTTCTCTTTGCTTGTCTTCTGCCACGTACGCGGTGGTGGCAGACGAAGAGTGCTAGACACAGATCCACACTAAGGAGGAGGAACAACGGATCAGCCTCCCGCTAAATAAGATATTGCCGCGCCATGGACTTCTTGATGTTGAGAGGAGAAAGAGACGTGCTTAGAAGCAATCCTTTTTTATCAATGCTCAACAAAGATGCAGACCCATAAGTTGTGTACGTATATCTGGTTGGGAAGACCCTACTATGAACTATCTCGGAAACCGTAGCTATGGGAACTTGTGGTGAAGGTAATTGGAGGTCATTATATGTGGTAATACGATCACCACGTCACATGTTGACTCTTGCTGAGGAACAACAGCAGATTGTCTTTTGGGCGGGCCAATGAAACTAGACAAACATGGCGTACGAAATCTTACAACCTCTACGTCAAAGTTTGCTGAAACGCACATTCCGTTACGTAACTTTGAACGATGTCACCACGTTGGGATGGGATTGAATAACGCGATATGGACCGACGATTGTGCTTATGACTCCTACACCGTCGGTTATCTTCGCCAGTCACACGTAGGCGAGGCTATGCCTTGCAGGCAATAATCACAGAGCGCCTTAAGTGACAGGGGTGTTATTAAACTTTATTATGAGTATGCGGTTGGAGGGTTCTTTGCTCACAGGGCTGGAAGATCCATCAAGGTGGTCTTCGCGACTTACAATATAAAGCAGCCCGCGTGTTGTGTAATTGGTTTTGGGTAATTGATTTTGGGGAATCCTCATCGTGTCAGTGCTGATCGTAATCCTAGATCATCTTGCTGCTGTCGAATTGTCGCATTAGACTCCGATTCTTACTGGTCATCTCCTGACCAACATTCATAACTATGTATACTCACGAAACCTTCGAAGATATCCTCAACGACGAGCTTGCATCGAAGCAGCTGTTACGAGAAGCACTACAGGCAGCTGAAGAGAGGCAGACTTTGTGGAAGAGATTATGCCTGTCTAGTGTAACATTGAACATTGGGATCATGGAACTATTGCAGCAGATCTGAATGACCAAATACCATAGTACCTAGCCTAATGCACGTTGTTGGGTGTGATTATGTTCGCCTCGAGGCCTTGTCAAGCTTGTCATGAACACTTGGAGTTCAGTATATAAGCAAACAAAAGCCGGCTACATTCTGTAACAAAAATGCGGTTCCTCGCCATATTCAATGCCATCATTTGGCTAGGATTCCTTTGGTTCTTCCTGTTCCACGTCAACCCCGGCCCACACACTGGACAAAGCTGTTCTATGTTAAACGTGCCCAGCCCCATATCGATTTATTATATCTCTGTGCACGTTCGTTAACAGTCGTGTAGATCACCACAGCAGAAATAGTACGGAATATTACCGAAACATTCGAGGTCCCTCATACAGACCGAGCGCAAAAGCGCATGACCATCCCTAGCGAAATCGTAGACCCGGCGAAGTCTGTCGCTTCGAAAGCAGGAGAGCACATCGCAACGGCCGTGGCCTCTGCAAAGCAAGCGGTCAGCACGCCACTCGCTGACATTTGGCAGAACCTCAGGTCCAAGTTCTTTGACGACTTGACTCGGTGGGAAGACACGGTGCCTGTCTACTTCTGTCTTCAGACGCGGGGCGTGTGGCAGCTAGGCTACTCCAACTCGACCAGCAAAATGGTCTCATCTAAGGACTTTGACGTCTTAGATGCCCTCCAAATCACGGTACTCGACAGCCTGTTCAGCATGGCACGCCAGATTGTCCCCGGGCTGCCGGACGGCCTAGTCAGTGACTTGGCGGAAGTTGACTTCAATGTGCTCGATACGGTGGCTGCCGCAGCATACTGGTTGCTTGTGGTTCTCCTCGTAGGCACGTTTCTGATGGTTCTGACTTCTGTTCTATCAGGATGGACCAAGTGGCTCCTCTGCCTACCTCTGATGGTGGTGGGTTTACTTAAGGCTGTCCTCCTAGTCACGGCTCTGGCTTGTATGGGTATTTGTCTAGCCGTAAATCTTATTTCTAGCGGCATTCTGTCTGTCCTAGATGTTGGCGTCGCGACAGAAACTGGGACGACGACATGGCTCTCAGTGGCGGCTGTCGTTTGGCTTTTGGTATGGTTCCTTCTCGATTGTATCTGCTTGTGATAAGTCACCGTTTCTGTGTAAGAAATTAGAGGTGATCTTGTGGATATCAGCCGTGTGTGATTCCTTCACCGCGACAAGGCTCAAGCTTCTCCTTGTTTCTTAGAGTTTTGCCTTGTATTGAATCTGAAGTTCCCAGATGGGTTTGATTTTCAGTCCTCAGATTTTCAGGCCTCAGTGAGACAGAACGGTCAATTCATGCCAGCCTGTCCGTATATCGAACATGATTACATCCCATTCTAGGGTTAGGATCTGAAACCTGAGATGAGTGTCTCGTGGGCATCATTCATTCACACTTCATACCGTGCACCGCAATCAAGTTGAGTTTCTATAGTACTCAAGAGCCTAGCCCAATCGTCTTCCAGCAACAGTGACCGCATTACTTCACGTGCATGATGTTTGCCCACAGCTGCTTGCTTAGCAGTCCAGCGACCTGAATCGGAACATGCGGGCGTACCGACGGTAGTGGAGTTCTCGATTCGGCAGTCAACTGCACTGAGCGCTGGAACGTGTGCCTCGCCGGAGCGGGTAGGATTCCCCACTATCAATAGCCGCGATTTCTCATCTACTTGCAAATTTCAGTCGGTCGGTACCGAGCTGTTGGACATGGGAATGTCAACAGCCAGTCAGTCTCCTGCTGGCGTGACTGGCAGAACAGAAGCGCACGCGATAATCCTGGCGTCTGGTCAAAATAATGGCAGTATCCGTAGCGCGCGGGATTTCCAGTGCGAGCCTCTTTTATTTGTATCGGTTTTTTTTATGGCGAAGGGCCAAGTGACAAGACTGCACGACCGCGTCCTCACCGTTCGTTCTGGATTTGGAAGCACCCAGCGATTATGCATCCAAATCAGTCGGCCAGGCCATGCTTTTACTTCGTTCAGGTATGTCAGTGGTTTAGATTGGTCCAGCATTGCGGCATAGGCCTCCGATGCCCATATACATGCTTTTGTCGGTGCTGAAAAAGCATCTTTGCAGTGCGCGTCGTGTAGGCGAACAAGGTCAGGTGAGAGGCAAGCCGAGGCCATAAATAGCTGCAAGAATAGGTGCGAGACATCTCGACAGGGCAATCGCTCTTCACCCTGCATGTTTCTTGTGTATGATAGCTTTCAATCCATAGTGTCCATGGAAGTCAGCTCCTCGGTCCTAACTTGCATATGTGACAAGTCCTGCTCCATAATGTATGTGAAATTGGGCTCCAGGTTCATGGTGCATCCAATCCATCACGGCCAGGTGCACGCATACTCTAGGCATCGTAGCATTCTCATCGACAGCCGTCTCTCAGAAACAGCCTTCCTATGATAACCCATTTCCAGGGTCAGAAGAAAACTGACGGGTCATTACAGATGTCTTGTAACGAGATTCAGGAGAGAAATTTACACTTCACTCAATTTTGGGAGGCGTTGGTAGCATGATGGACTCTTGATCCATAGTCAATGCATTTCGGTCGCCATGTCATCAGCATCTGGTACAAATGCTTCACAGACTGATCGTTTCGATCATAAGGAAAATAAGTACGCTCTGAACGTTTGAGCTTATGCCTTGGGCAACTGGCATGCAGTGATGCCTGACTGCGGTAAGGGTTGCGGTTATGGTATGCACCCGTTTCACAGTGACTGCGAAGGGAAGCTCCCATCGATAAGATGCCGTTTCTACTTGGCAAAGGCCTTAAACGCAATCATGGAAGAAATGCAGATGTCATGATTTTCCACCATGTAATATTGCGTACACCAAAGTGACTATTTATGTGTCAATTAGTAGCGATGTGCCTAAAAGGGAGCAAGCGGCTTCGAAAGCGAGACAACATCTCAATCAGAGGCGGCAAAGCGTCCCGAGTCTTCCCACCCACACTGTCAGCACCATTTATGCCATCATCCCCATCATCCCCATCATCCCCATC